TCTAATGCTTAAAAGGATATGTGAAAATTCAAATAAAAATTGCACTTCAGGCTTGTGGAAGGTTGAATGGTACTTATGAATTCTGGCAAATGCAATCTCTATATTGTTTTTAATTACTTTTTGGTGGTCCTCCATAAGTTATGTCAAGATTATGCTATTGGATACCAAAGTTCAGAAGACTCTCTTTCCAATTCTCTAACTCTGCTGCCCTATTTATTGGCCATGAGCATCTATCAAAGGCAACAAATGTTTGCCTACATTAATTTAATGCCCACAATAACTACATGAGGGTGGGTTACTATTTTGGCTCTATTTTACAGATGAGGAAACTGAAGCACAGAGAAGTTAGGTACCTTGCCCAAGGTCACTTGCCAGAGGGTAGCAAAACTCAGCTGCAAACCAGCTCTGATGTCAGAGCCCAGATACTTAGCCACTGAAGTACTCTTCCCCATGTGTTAGTGTTTCTTTTCACCAAAGCCCGTGGGCTCAAGAATGGAGAGTAGGGAATAGGCAGCACACAGTGCCCTTCACAGCTTATCCTTCCTGTCCTCTGTTGGATGAAATGTCCAATCAAGGAATGGCATTACTGCTACAAAGTAAGCATTGGGGTCCTTCTGCTGACCAAGGAAGATCTAAAAGTGATGCAGTGTGAAAGCAAATAAAACTAATATTTGCATGTATTTACAACCCGCCTTTCTCAGAAAGGATTTAAGGTGTTTCGCTAAGATATGTACATTACTGACAGATATAATAAATTAAAACAGGTAAAAAGCAAAGCAAAGGGGAAGTTGGGATACAATAGTACAATGTGTGCACACAACAGAGGTCATGAGTTTAGAGAAACTTGCCAACAGCAGGCTTGAAGTCTGGCTCTAAGCTACATAGTAGCCAATGAAAACAGAGAAATGAGATTACATAGTTGATTTTTCTACAAAATACAAACAACGTAGTGGCTCAGAAGCCCAGATATTTCCAGTACTAAAAATAGAGAGAAAATACTTCCATAGTCTTCCAGAGAGGACACTACGCATTGTCAGCATGCCTGGATACCAGAGTATCCAGAAATGAATGTCAGAGACCGCTTCTCACAACATCCCTCCAAAATAAGCATAATGCATATGAAATACAGGACACAGACTCAGTCTTGCCAGAAATATAACTTTATTCTTTTACACATCTTTGAGAAGCACATTAGTATAGTCTGATACCGACTGCCTAGATTTGGATCTTGGCTTTGTCCCTTACCAACTGTGTGACATTGGACAAAACTCTAAACCGCTCTGGGCCTCAGATTTATCACTGACAAAACAGAGATAATGATAGTAACTGCTTCATGGGTTGTGCGAGTCTTCAGTCACTACAGATAAAGTACGTAGAATAGTGTTTGGCACACAGAAAACACTACAGAAGTTTTTACGATTATATTTATTATTCAAAAAGTAAATTTATTTTTTCAAGTCGCAACCTCCCCACTGACAGCAACTTCAAGTTAACCGGTTCAGGGTTCCATCTAAGTCCCAGGGAGCATATTAGTGAACAGCCATTGGGGAGTAGGAGGAGAATTTAGGGGGAAAGGCACCTTGTCTTTTGTGTCATTTATCCATGCCAGCATCTCTTGGGATTTCCTTTCTTCTGGTTCAAAGCTCTTGGTCCAAACAGGTGAGGGTTTCCAGTGACTTGCACCTTGTCAGGTACATGGAGGTCATTATAATTCTGTCCTAGTGTGAAGGGATCACGACACAGTGAGGCTAACTTAGACTCATCTGTCTCTGGGTCTTGCTGACTTCCCAGGCTCTACTTAGGAAAACAGACCCTATTAATTAAGCTACTGGGGGACTCTATCAAAAATCTACCTCCCGGCATTGACTGAAGGAACGGGAAAGTGTGATTTACTCTCCTCTGAGACGTTGTTGTTTAATCACTCATCACTTCTCCTCCATGTGGAGAGCTATTTTACCTCAAGGGGCAGAGGCGAAAGAAGCTTTGCATGGGTCTCGTATCTTTTTCACAAATTCATCTATTTCACAGTCTTGGCTTTTGCGACTCAAAAGACAAGAACTCGCAACTTTTCTCTCTCTGCCTTTCTGATGTAGAATTCCATTTTTGAGACCATGAATGTGGACAGCTGATGGGAAAGCAGGGGATGAAGGGGACTCAAAAGGTCCACAGTACTGGGGTGCTGGGTGACTCAGTCGGTTAAGCGGCTGCCTTCGGCTCAGGTCATGATCCCAGGGTCCTGGGATCGAGCCGCGCATCGGGCTTCTTAGCAGAGCCTGCTTCTCCCTCTCCCTCTGCCGCTCCCCTTGCTTGTGCTCTCTCTCTCTCTCTGTGTCAAATAAATAAATAAAATCTTTAAAAAAAAAAAAAAAGGTCCACAGTATTGTGAATAGAGGGGGTAACTGAACGCTGATTCACATTTCCCAGAATAACCTACCACATAAAATTGCAGCACCTTTCCTAAGCATATTTCAGTTAAGGCAATTCTGTAGTTTTCCAAAACAATGAGGTCCATATTTGAAGTTAGCTTTTCTTCATCTCAACCCCTAGGCAGATTTTAAAGAAGACAGAAGGATGGGCAGACTGAAGAGAAGAGCAATATACTAATTACACAGCTTTTAAAACTTAGATCACGCGCTGGTACTGGTACAGAGCTTTTCCAAAATTCTGACTAGCAAGCACAAGTTCTGGTGCCAGATGATCCATCAGGAGCTCCAAATGGTCTAGTCCAATTTTCAATTCAAGTTATTCTGTAAACTGCAAACAAAACTAAAATAGCGCGCAGCAATTTATATGAGTAATACTCAATTTTCATACCATCAATGCCACTAAAAGGTAACTCTTTTGTGTCATATGCTGCATACTGATAAACTTAGAACAAAAAAACTGCAATCATCGGGAAGGGTCCCCAAAGATCCAGTTCTTTTAGCACCTTCATTTTAGATAGGGAGAAACCATGACTGGAGGGTTGTTCAAGATCACATTTCTTTCCTTTTATATAAATACTCTGAGATAGAAGAACAAAAAATACCACATCTGGTCAGATATATGTGTCGCTCCTCCTAGAATTTTGCCACGTGACCGTCATGATGCCCCATTTTGTTCTGTAATTCTTCATAGTTTCTACAACTTAATTTAAAAGGTCTAAAGTAAACTCAGCAAGTACCCCATAAAGTTGTAAATTCCTCATAGATAAGCATTTATGCCCACCTCTATCTCCCACGGTGCCTAGTAAAATACTTAGCAGAAAGCATATGGTAAGGTGCTTGTTAAATGGTGATGATGCTGTGCTTCCCGTCCCAGGGTCTGCATCTCTGTCGGCAAATACCTATCCATTTAAATATCTATCTATTCCTAGTTATAATGTGTCTTGGTATAATTTCCATGCAAGCCGCTGGATCCCCCCAAAGCATTTACTACATTCTATACCTTTTATGTTCTGCCACTCATCATCATCATCAAAGCTCATCAAAGTGGAGGCACAAATATTGCCCATTAATACTTCCTTTTACACTCTTCAAAGTACCCTTCTTATTACCAGACTTTCTCGCATTTTAAGGCAACTATTCACCTCCAGAGCACTATGTTTGGCTACATTAAGTTATGTCCAACTTTCTTCTCTACTCTATGGGTGAAATGCTATGTGCTCTAGATATCATCTTTCCAGTGTAAATCATAAATACTGTAAGCCATCCCCCAAATTCAGAAGCTATCTTTTAACCCTCCGTTCTAGAATATTTCTCTGGAATGTCTTGTCATTTCACATTTTGAAGTAGAGCAAGCTGATATGCAAACGGTATCAGCCACTGCATTGTAAAAGTTAAAATAACATTTTCTATTTTGTTTTAAGTATTCTCTCTGATGAAGGTAAACTTTATAACATGAGAGTAAGAAAATAATATTGACAAAAGTATTTACTAAGAAACTGTTCTATATTTTAATTCAATATAGATTATTATTTCTAATAATTATTATTGAAAATACAAGAATCTACATTGAAAATACAATAAAGCATTGTATTAGACATATAGGAACAACTATGTTTAACAATTTTAACGCAAATATTTTTATTCCCTTTAAGATTATCTAATGATTAAAAAATCTTTTCCTACTCTCCAGAGTTCATTATATGCATACAGAGATGGTAAAGGGAAATTATTCTACTGACCAGAGAAAAAGAATAAAAGGTTAATGTTTTTAACTATTTAAAATAGTAGGGGCAACAGAGGCACTTAAGCTGGTGCTTATTTAAAATATAATCTTATAAAAATTCCAAGAGTCTCTAAATAACCATGGAAGGTCAGGAGCAGCTGTTTCAGACAAATAAGTTTTGAATCTTGAATATATTCTCTGCAGTGATTCTTTCCATGACGGTGTGTTAGTGCCTTAGAATAATATATTTTATGGCAAACCCCTTAAAATAAAGCTAACACTCAACAGAATAAAGTGTTTGGAACTACAACTCATAGGTTATATCATATTGACAGCTTAGTATTTCAGAAACAGTCTATGGATATATATACCTTGTGAGAGTAATACCAGTTCATAATACAAACGACAATTATGCATACCTTTGAAGCTTTCATTTTTCTCTAATTCCAACTTTCACTGCTTTCCAGAGACTCTCTTTGGGAAAAATATTGGCATATATGTGAAAAGCAAACACATTTAAATTTTAACACATTCCATAGTCTTTAGGCTCTTAACACTGTCAAGTGATCTTCAGTCAAAGACCATCTGGAACACACCTGTTGTTGAACAAATGTGGGTTTATTGACTCACTGCAATGAGGGGAACTGCAAGGAGTCTCAGCAAATATGTTAGAAATAACTTAAAGGATGTGGACTTCTGTTAGGTGATTTTGGGGAAAGTTTAAAAAAGCAGGACTGAATGGACAAAGAAGATGTGATAGATAGATGATAGATAGATAGATAGATAGATAGATAGATAGATAGATAGATAGATAGATAGATAGATAGATAGATGATAGATAGATAGATCGATAGACATACACATACACACACAATGGAATATTACTCAGTGATCAGAAAGGATGAAATCTTACCATTTACATTGATGTGGATGGAACTGGAGGGGATTATGCTGAGCAAAATAAGTCACTCAGAGAAAGACAATTATCATATGGTTTCACTCACGTGGAATATAAGAAACAGCGCAGAAGATGATAGGGGAAGGGAGGGAAAACAGAATGGAAAGAAATTAGAGAGGGAGGCCAACCATGAGATACTCTTAACTATAAGAAACAAACTGAAGGTTGCTGGAGGGAAGGTGGGGGGGATGGGGTAACTGGGTGACAGGTATTAAGGAGGGCACATGATGTGAAGAGCACTGGGTGTTATGATGCAACTGATGAGTTATTGAACACTACATCTGAAACTAATGATGTTGGCTAATTGAATTTAAATTTTTAAAAAATGAAAAAAAAATAGGAAATCCATAAAAAAAGAAAAGCAGGACTCGGCTCTGGATTGGATGCTGTCAGGAAGCAGGAGTCATTCTGTGATTGGGTATCTTAAAAATTCTTATCTAGAAGGTAAGAAGAATGTGGTTTAAAAAAAAGCTGTGATTGATTTTAAAAAAAAGATGGGAAATATTTGGGCATTCTCTGATCTTCAAAATGTTCATGTCTTTGCCCAAGTTTGGGTATGAGTATGGAGTGGTCTAGTTTTTGCCTGATCCATCATGATCACAGAAGGTCTTCGCCTAATGTCAATGGTCTCTGAAATGTTACGTTCAACAGCAGAACACCACACTATCAGCAATGCTTTTCTCTTTCTCAATATATAAAGAATAAGCATAAAGGGGGGGGGGATCATCATCTCCACAGACTCAAATATAGTTACAAAGGAACACATCTCCACTTTACTTGTACTATAGGCTCTAAGCTGGGTCTTGTATATTTTTAGCATCACTCAATGTGTTAGAAACAGCAAACATCCAATAACTGCTTCAACTAACTCACTTCTTCCTTCAAAAAAATCATTAATGGTTCCCAACTATAGAAAATCTCTAAGTCAGTAATCTTAAATCTGTAAGTGAAGCACCAAGATTCAATCTCATTGCTACAAAGCTGAGATAAGAATGGAGGAAGATGAAAGCTATTCTACACTCACATTATATCTGAATTCTTAGGTAAGGGAGCACTTTGTAATGAGTGTTTACTGTACATAAAAGCACCGCTAGGCCTTTGGAACATAACAGTGAATAAGATCAAGTCTCCATGCCCAGTTAGCTTGCTGCCCTGTGAGAGAGTTAGAGTTTTATTTTCTCATTCTTCATCTTACACAGTGAAATAAAATTACATCATTGTATCAAGTAGTCAAAAGAGAAAATTAATACTGGCCTACACCATGTGTTTATGGCCAATTTTGGTCCTTACTACAATCGATGTAATTTTTTAATTAAGTTTTGGCCACTGGATAGCTGGCTCACTGGAAGGTTTTAAATATTTCCTTTACTTTCCACAAGCATCTCACACAAACTCAAGGGTGCAGGGACTGTAACTGCATTCTCAATAATGAAGAAGTGTTTTCTTTTTTATCCTGTCAGTGAGAATTTGATTTATTTTATAATTTGATATACATACACTGATTATAGATATAAAATTTAGTTTTATAAGTCACACTGGTATTATGAACTGCAATTAAATTTTATCACTGAATTAAAATTGGCTAAATGTGGAAATTAACAAGTTATTTTAAAAAATAATATGAATAAAAGTTTTGGGAGGTTTTTAAATATTTCCATTTAATTTAAAAACATCAAGTCGTCCCAGATTTTTATTTCACAGGGAAATATAATTATTGACCAGATATTTCAATATATGTTAATATCTATCTGTCTTACCTACCTATCTACCCCAGTCTATCCTTTGTAAAACTAAACCTCTTAAATAAAATTTATTGAAAATTTTACTTTTAAACCAATTAGAATAGTACCATTTTTCAGAAATATCTTTTCTTTCTTTTTATTAATTCATTACTACTTACAGAGACTACCTTCCTCCCCAAACCTAGACACACACATATATTAAATAAAACTTCCCCAATAATTTTGTTTCTATAACGATGGTTCTTATAAAATTTCATTATTATTATTACTATTATTATCATTATTTAGGGAGAGAGTGCATGGGAGGGGGCAGAGGGGGAGGAAGAGAGAGAGAATCCTAAGCAGGCTCCACACCCAGCACGGAGCCCGACACAGGGCTTGATCTCATGACCCTGAGACCATGACCTGAGCTGAAACCAAGAGTCAGATGCTTAACCAACTGAGCCACCCAGGGGCCCCTAATCATTTTTTTTTTAAATGCATATACTCACATAATTTAGCCTTATCTGCTACTTAGTCATTCACTTACAAAGTAAATATTTACTGAGTGTCCTCCAACAATTTGTAAAAAATTAAGTGGAACAGAGCAATTAAAACAAAACACAGTACCGCCTCTTAAGGAGTTTGCAGTCAAGGTGGTGAGATTAAGACATGTACACAAATATTAAAAGAAAGCAGTAAACAGTAGTTGTCATTATAGGTAGGGACAAAATCTTCGAAGGGTTCAGACAGGAGAGAGGCTCCAGGCTGGAACTATCATGGGAGTTCTCACAAAAGGGACATATCTTAACTATGCATTAAAGTATAGGATTACAGATAGAGATTTAAGACATCTACTGTGTTCCTTGGGGACCCACACCTCCCTAATTCTCACTTCACCCCTAGTTCTTCTTCACATTCATTACTATCAAGTTTCCATTGGCTTAGGCTTGTGCAGTTCACCTTTCAAGTATAAATACAAGGTTCTTTTCTTAATTTCATTTGGCTTTTCCATCCAATATCCCAGATTGTAACAAAACTTTTTTAATAAAAAAGTATCATATCGAAGTATAACACGCAATGTGGCAGTAATTTTGAATCTTAATTTTGTTTTTTAACTCCATCCTAGAAGTTATCTTTCCCTCGTTTCCCATAATTGCAAATTTGGTAAACACACCTTTTGCACATTCATCCAAAGGGACATCAGACACTCCTCAAGGTGCTTAAACATCACGAAAATCAAACTGTGGTTGAGAAGGGGGTGTATATATAGTCTAAAGTGTGCCTAATGATTTATATCAAAAATATCTTAATATGTAACCATCCATTAACTTATTTTTCTATCTAACAAATACCTCTAGAGTACCTATTACCTATCAGATACTCTTATGACTCTTTCAGGATTGACAAACTCCCTACTCTCCATGGCTTTTTATTCTAGTAGGAGGTGAAAACGAAATAGAGAAAATAAATCAAGCAACAAATGAATAAAGAAACTGCATACACAAATAAAATTACTGTTATAAACAATATTACAAGTGCTATGAAGATAGCCAAAATAGAACAATGGGTACTTATGACAGGTTGTTTATTTGAGAAGTGAGGGAGGCCCCCTTTGACAAAGTGACATTTCAGATGGGTTCTAACTGACAAGAAGAAACAACCAAACAATGATAAAGGGGAAGAGTGTTCAAGGCAGAGAGAAAGCCCTACCATAGGAATGAACATCACATGTTGAAGAAAAAGCATGGCTGGAGTGCAGAGATGAGGGGATAGTGGTGCAAGATGAGGACAGAGAGGTAAACAGAGCAAAGAATGTGGATTTTATTCTAATTGCAGTGGGAAGCCATTGGTGAGTTTTAGGCAGGTGAGGGACATGATATGAATAATGTTTTAAAAGAATACTCTGGTTCCTAAACACAATAGATTTTAAGGAAGTAAAAGTAAAATTCAGAGAAACCACGTTAGACAGCAATAATCTGGGCAAGAGAGGATGATGACCAAGATTAAGGTGAAGAGAATGGGTGGACTCAGAAAATATTTTAGAGATTGGTTTGACAGGACTTATTATGAACTGGATAGGAGAGGAAGAGAAGAAGAGAACAATACTTTCTTTTTTTTTTTTTAATTTTATTTATTTATTTGACAGAGAGAGACACAGCGAGAGAGGGAACACAAGCAGGGGGAGTGGGAGAGGGAGAAGAAGGCCTCCCGCTGAGCAGGGAGCCCAATGCGGGGCTCGATCCCAGGACCCTGGGATCATGACCTGAGCCGGAGGCAGACGCTTAACGACTGAGCCACCCTCGTGCCCCAACAATACTTTCTTAACTTCAACCAACTGGGTGTGTTGATGAAATTGTCTGAGATGGAACAATTGGATAGGAACAGGTTTGGGTGACAAATGATAAAGAGCTGTTCTTAGGACACATTAAATTTGAGACACTTATTAGGTATCTATGAAAAGCTTTAAAGTAGGTATTTGGAAATACGAGTTTGAAGTTCCAGGCGAAGCTTTGCGCAGTGGCAGTATCATAGCCAATGAGGTTTATCCGAGGCGCGATTATTGCTAATTGAAGTTCCAGGGGACAAGTCAGATCTGGAAATAAAGATCTAAGTGCCTTTCATATACAGATGGTATTCAGAGCTATAGGATTAAAAAGTCAAACCTGGAGAGAAAGCATATCCTTACAAGAGAAGAGGGTACAGGAAAATCTTCAAAAACTCCAATGCTTAGATATTGAGCAGAGGAGAGATTAATCAAAGAAACTGAGAAGCAACAGCCAGTCAAACAGGATGAAAACAAGGAAAGTGTGATGTTTCCAAAGTCAAGAAAATAAGTGTTTCAAGAAGGAAGGAGTACTCCATGTGGTTGAACAATGCTGAGAGGTAAGAAAAGAAGTGAGGATTGGACTGGACTACAAGGAAGTCATTTGTAACCTTAACATCAGGGAGTTAAGTGCTAGGGAAAGGGATCCTTACTGGTATGGAGTTGAGTAGACTATTGTAAACAGGAGATGAAAGAATGGAAACAAGACCAGAGACAACAATTTCAAGATGTTTTGCTGTGAATAGGGTACAGAAAAGTGCAGTGATTTATGGAACCAAAGAAGGGTTTTGTGATTGATGATAATAAAATGTATCTTTATTCATATAGGAATAATCTTCTATTAGTAGAGAAATGTTACAGAACAAAGAACAGATGAACTATAGAAGCAAAGTCTTGGACAAGATAAGCTCCAGAGAGTAATAGAATGTTTCACCTCAAAAGTTATCTAGGGCTATGGTTATGGGCCAATTTTCTTCAAGTTTGTACTTTTGTGCACATATAAACAGACTGATAAATGATAGAATAAAAAATACTTATGCCTATAATATCTAATCTGCATGCCAAGGCCTTGTCTGCCTCTTTACAGACTCCTATTTTTACTCCCTAACCCAACAAGTGGAAGGGAGGCTAATCTGCTTAGTTATATTCCAGGACGCTGATTCTGCCATAGTTCCCAGTGGGCAGAATCACTGGCTCTTCAAAGGTCCTCTAGAAAGGTGTGATCCTCTCCTTGGCTTCTTCCTTTTTTGTTACTGCGCCGGTAAGAGACCAAAGCCTTTAGTCCAATCACCCCTCACTCATTCTCCTCTCTTTTTCTGTCTTTTGCTTTCCTGATGAAAATCTTCCCTGCTGGTAGGAGGCTCCAGGCAACTCTTTTCTCCCCTTTGACTCTACTCTTCTCTCTCCTACACTCGCCCTAAGAAGTAGTTGGTAATCCGGGGCACCTGGTGGCTCAGTCGTTAAGCGCCTGCCTTCGGCTTGGGTCATGATCCCAGGGTCCCGGAATCGAGCCCCGCGTCGGGCTCCCTACTCGGCAGGAGGCCTGCTTCTCCCTCTCCCACTCCCCCTGCTTGTGTTCCCTCTCTCACTGTCTCTCTCTGTCAGATAAATGAATGGAATCTTAAAAAAAAAAGTAGTTGGTAATCCCATGGCTTTTTTTCCACCAATGGAGACCCTTGTTTGATTTCTCTCCAGCAAATCCTTTTTTTTTTTTTCTGAAGTGTAATAAATCCTAAATTTCAGATTTGGGCTTGGGACTTAATAGGTCAATTTTTCCTACTTAGGTTGCTATGGATAAGGAAAAAATTCAGGAATTTTAGGTACCTTGGAAGAATATCAAATAATAATGACAAAATATTATCTCTAAACTCCTTGCCACAAAATACTAACAAAGTTATCATGGGACACTTTGTCAGAATACTTAATCAAAATCAAGTTACACTACGTACACCAGGAACAAAATCACAAATCATTGACTGCCTGTGTTCTGGCAAAGAAGTCCCTGGGTGGTACACTGGGAACAGAGCCCTCATTATTCCCAGGAAGTTAGAAGATCTGAACCGAAGATGTTGTCTTTACTCCCATAAACTTGAACCACTCTACAGAGAATGAGATTGACAAATCCAGGATGTTATCCCAGACTCCGATTCACTCATTAACTAGATACTACTCTGGGTAGTTTCCCACTTCTAGCCACTGCTTTCCTGTTTTGGTGCTCGTCCACTTGACCCAACCTCTGTTGCTCTCCCCATCTAACTCCCTCATTAAAACAAACAAACAAAAACCAAACAAACAAACTCATATTTAAGTAATTTGATAAAATTTCCCTGAGGTTGCTTAAAACCATTGATAAGTATCTCTGGACCCATGAGGACTTTACTTAGCTAGTTGTGCATCTTTTATGAATAATTTTATAAATAAATCACATTACATCATTTTCTTTATTAGAAAGTCATACCCCAGGGTAGTTTAGTGTGTGCAAATTTCTTGAGGTTTGGGGCTACATCATAGTCCTGTCTGATTTCCTCTAGACTCTGTACATACAAAACTTCTATTTATTATTTAATTGAAAGGGATTGCATATATCATATGAACTGAAAGCCCCCAAAGAGGAAGACAATTGACACCCCATACTTAAATGAGTTCCATTTATATATTAAAGTTTGCCAACGCCAGCATTTGAACAACCTTTTATTTTTAATTTTTTTTTTTTTTTTACACAATCTCTAGTTCATTCCTTCTTTTATCATGACTTTCTGCCCTCCCAGCCCAGGTGTTGGCTATTTCAGTGATTAGATCAAAGATGACCTTTTTGTGTGAAGACAGAGGTAAAGAAAATACTTATTAAAAGTCTCTGCCTTTTTTATGTCATCAGTTAAGTTTTCCTTTCCCATCTGATAAAGGAACAATGTTCTCCTTTATCATTTTCCTCAGTTTTAATGTATTTAAAAGAAAAAAAAATACAGTGTTCATTTTTTTCTTTATTCTTTATCTCATTTCTTTTGTTTTGTTGTAGTTGTTGCTTTTCTATGACTTGAACAAGCAATTAGGTACTAATTGCAATTTTTTTTGTCAAATAATCTACCTTCCATTTTTGTAGCATTCACTACTTATATTTTAAAAGCATTGTACTTATCCATGTGAGATTTCTTTTCCTCTGCCAATCTGGTATAATAATTATTATGGCACCTGCAGAAATCACCGCCCTGTGAAATCCAGACTACTCTTCATCAGATCCCTTTAAGAGATAGCTTGAGATTAAAAGAGAAAAGAGTGTCCTGGTACTCCAACGGAGGCTTAAGAAACAGAGAGAAAGGAAAATAAAATTGAAAATAATAATAAATGGACTTAGAAGGCAAGGTCTGTCAAAAAGAGGTCAAAATGGTTTCTAGGCGTACCCGATAAAAAAGAATGCTGTGAAATATGAATGAGGGTTCAATGAATGGTTGGCTGAATTGAGGAAGTAAAAACCAAAATGTGGGTTGCCTTGACCCTTTGCAGGTCCTTTGCTTCCATCTTAAGCAGAAAAAAAAGGTCCACAAAGATTGTATAGTAAGAATAGAAGACCAAGACAATTTGCCACGGAGGGGTCTTCTGTCCATCAAGACAGTAATGGACTTCTGTTTCCCTAAGGCTTAAAGATGAAGATGGTGAAATCTAACACCATGATGGTCAGAGCACTTAGTGACCTTATATATATGAAGGGGGTGATGATCTGTGGATTTTGAATATTACTCATACCTAGAACATTTTTCTCCCATTTTCTTCTATATTTACTGAAGTCTCTTCTTTATTTACATGTTTTCAATTACACTCTATTCTGATCATTATCATCAACCTTTCCTTTCTTCCAATTATAATTCCTAGTATATCACGCTCCTAATGGATAAAATTTAGAAGAGTTTTCTTTTCCTACTTTCTTTCTCCTCTTTATACGTCACAGTATTATCTCCAACACAGTTCAAGAATATGTTTGGTAACTTGCAAAGTTCACTGCCCTTCAAGAAAATGATCCAGGAGAGTTTTCTATTGCTATTAGGTGTACACTGATATAAGCCTATTTAAATTAAGCTTAGAACTTCATAGTGAACATTCTATTCTAGTGTCTCAATCATAGTTATTCTGGCCTTTGGATACTTTTGTGTATCAAGACTTCCATCTACCTAAAAAGCTCAGTACACATTTATGATTACTATTATCATTATTATTATTACTACTAGTAGTACTAGTACTTTTTTTAAAAAATTTATTGTTATGTTAATCACCATACATTACATCATTAGTTTTTGATGTAGTGTTCCATGATTCATTGTTTGCGTATAACACCCAGTGCTCCATTCACTACCTGCCCTCTTTAATACCCATCACTAGGCTAACCCATCCCCCACCCCCTCCCCTCTAGAACCCTCAGTTTGTTTTCCAGAGTCCATCATCTAGTACTTTTACTTGTTAGTTGCATCTATTTTTTTCTATCTTTTATTCAGTATATTTTAAATCTTCAAAAAGTTACAGTATTAACATAATAAAGGCCCATACATCATTCACCTAGAATTACAAATTGCTAACATTTTGCCACATGTGCTTATGTCTCTTTCTCAGTAATAATAATATCACTGTTATGATTTTACTAAACCATTTGAAGTAAGTCGCAAGCTTTATGGCCCTTTATTCTAAGTATTCAGTATGTATCATAAGAACAAGGACATGCTCTTATACAGCCATAGTACATTTCACTAATTAAGGTTAATTAATGTTGATAGATATAACTATGTAATATACAGTCCATGTTCAAATTTTGTCAATTATCTTAATAATGTCCTTTATAACATTTTTTTTCTACAGTTAACAATCTAATCCAGTATCATAGTCTATTCTTACATAAGAGTATCACCTTTCTTTCTCTCATTGCATATACAAATAATCTATATTTTATTTCATACCTCTGGCGATAACTCAAAAACTTAATATTCCTGTTTATTTACAAATTTCCTGAATTTGAAATTGTATAACCATTTGAGGGGTCTATATCCTGGTCTGTTTTTCTTTATAGCCTTCTGATGGCTCTAAAGAAGCTATGCCTTTAGATAACCTCTGTAACCCAACTTAAATACTTAATCTGGTTTCCTTCCCCTAAGTTTACAAACTCTTCCTAAAATCCCCTTCTGTTCTTGGATGTGGACAGTGTAATGACCTCCATCCTGCATTATTACTAGAAAAGTATATAGATTGGCATCATTTAGCCATCTAGCCGTCTATTATCAGAAAGTACTTTGACAAATTCAGCTCTTTGGATTTAAATGGGAGAGAGTACCACTCTTATTTCCTATCTCCTTCTCCTTGCCGTCTTGTTTGACCAGCTCAGCGTATGTCTTGGCAACATCGTCATGATGTGTGGACATAGGCTCACACACACACACACACAGAAGCAACAGTATTAAATAGAGGCTTAATATTTCTGGGGTTTTTGGGAAGCTCTACCTAACATTTTGAATTCTAGGGCTCCATAACTTGCAAAATATATACATGCACAACCTCTTACGGTATCCTCTCATGACGCTGTTTAACATCATAAGACAAGTTCCATTATCCCCCCCGCCCCGCCACTATGCCATGCCAGTTCTGCCCTTGATTTACTTTGCACTGTTGTTTTAAAGGAGTTGTTTTTCAGTAATTTATTGGTGTGTCATCTGAAAGGTGGACCAAAACTTTGAATGAGTACATAGATTTCCTCTCACTTGTTACCATACATTTTAACATATTACTATAAGTTATTTCTCCAAAATTTTAAGCAAAATTGATTGACACTGATAAAATCCCCAAAGGAAATATGTGATATTCACTATTGCAATCCTAAACACATACAGACATACACATAAGTGCATATTTATTATTTTAATGTCTATTCATGCCCTTCAATGAAACTTTCTAACATTATAATCCCATGATATCACGCTCACTCTCTCCATAGTTACACACTGGGGTAATTTAGACAAACCACATAGCATAGGTCCTTTCAAGAAAGAAAGAAACTCATGGCTTATTGGATAGAAATGTTACAAATTAGCCATCCAAGGCACAGATCATAAACTTGGCCCCCTTTTTAGATTTTTATTAGTACTGAAATAACTGATACTGACAGAACAAAGAGAAGATTCTTACAACCATAAAAATCACTTTCCTGCTACCAATATAACCGAATCCTACCTCTAATGGATTATGTGGCCAGGCCAGCCTCATAATAACATTCAGTAACTAACGCTGTTCATATGCTAGTGGCTCAATGGCCAAAGGCCCCATTTAATTAAGAAGATGGATTCATATGTGCTAATAATTCAGGTTACAGCTTTGAGAGCACGGTATTACTCAAGCTAAAGAAAAAATCTTTTTAGCCTCACCACTTTTTTTCTTACTAAGTATACTTCCCATGTTTGTAAGATATCTGATTAAAAGTATAGTTATAATATCAGATATGTTTAAATATATGAAAGCATAATATTGTTTAACACATGTTTATAAAATTCACATCAGGATAACTGTCCTCAATTTTAAAACAGACTCTCTTAACAAAGAGGGATTATTAATCTTGTGAAAACCTGATGTTGAGATAAATCTACTTATCAGACACAGACATGGAAAAACATAGCCAGTTTAACTTAGGAGCAAAGTTATCTAGAAATAACTTAATGGGCCCCATCATATGCAGTTTTATATATTTCATTATTTGCTCTGGTCATAAATCATGACAAGTATACCCCTGGCTAAAACATCTTCTGGGAATAAAGCTCCTTCGTTGCAAAGTTAATGCTAAAAAGTACTTTGTAAATCAAATGAAACAGAACCACTGAGACTCAGAGCCATGAACTTCAAAAAGTTCCTAGGTCAAAGCTACACATTGCCTCAAGCTAAACAGAAAGAATACAAGTGACCAGTCCCAGAAAATGCGGAGATGTATTTTTGTGGAGTGGCTATTATCCACCAGGCATTTTGATGATCTGAGCCAACACAACAGTGCACTAGACAGTTGTTCAGCTTCCCACCACTGCAGTGACCACGCACTTCATTTGAGATGCTCCTGGCATCTCTAGCTCTCTCCTCTCTATCTATCCCTCTTTACCTCTTTACCTCTTTATACTACCAGAGCATATGAAGATCTGACTTCAGTCATTCACATTTTCTTGCTTGACCTATTAATGGTATTAGACATATTGAAATTAGGTAGGATATATTCATCTAACATTTACAATATAAATTTTTCATTTCTATTAATGGAATAAAAATACAGGGTCCATTCAGCTGCTGAAGCTAGATGAAGCCCATTTCTGGAGCTATGGGTAATAAGAGTTACTTGCTGAAAATTGCTTCTTCCAGAATCCAGAGCTGTGGCCCAAGATCCCTCAGCACACTTCCTTTCTCCAGAAATATTTTCTTCCTTCCCAGAAAACAAGTCAAGTCTCACACCCTACTTACTCTCATGTTAGTCAAACCTGCTCTTCTCTCCCCTACCTTAACGTTTATGGACAGTGGCGGTAAAAACTTGGAAAAGAGAAAGATTTATACATTCCACATTCTTCTAGATATGGCAAAATATAGTCATTTTAATAGCGGGAGTTTGGAGAAAAGGAACTGGGGAGTAAGAGAGTCACCATAGACTTAATTGAGTATTCTGTGTCATAATAAAATTAATAAATTTATTCAGAAATAAAATAAAGGAAGAAAAAACTGTACTTGTCTCACTTGCTTAGTACTTAAAGTCAAGCATCAATATTTTAATTTAACTTTTGGGGCGCCTGGGTGGCTCAGTCGTTAAGCATCTGCCTTTGGCTCAGGTCAGGATCTCAAGGTCCCGGGATCGAGCCCCGCCATCAGGTTTCCTGCTCCGCAGGAAGCCTGCTTCTCCCTCTCCCACTCCCCCTGCTTGTGTTCCCTCTCTCTCTGTGTCTCTCTCTGTCAAATAAATAAATAAAATCATTAAAAAATATATTTCATTTTAACTTTTGAATGCCTACAGCATCCACATTAGTCTGATTAGGCTCAGAGTGTTGAGAGAATATGGACCAGGAAATAAAAAATCCCAGGGCCTTAGATTAATTTTACAGCTTTAATAGGAAATACTAGTAACCACAGCAATTACCTTTCATCTCCTTAAAAAAATTATCCTTACTGTATGTTTATCCAACTTCCCTACCTTATATTTAATATAAAAATATTCTCAGTACAGGGCACCTGGGTGACTCAGTTGGTTAAGCATCTGGCTTTTGATTTCAGCTGGGGTCATGAGATCGAACCCTAGGTCAGGCTCTGCACTGGGCATGGAGCCTGCTTAAGATTCTTTCCCTCCCTCTCCCTCTGACAACCTCCCCTCCCCCCATTGACACATGTGCATGCTCTCTCTCTCTCTCTCTCAAATAAATAAATAAATATTTAAAAAATATATTCTCAGTATGATGTCTATCCAACTGAATGTAGAGATTTAATATCTCTTCATAATCTCTTTAATAAAGAATAATTTGTGGAAACTACACAAATGGTTATGTTAAAAAATGTGTCTCTAGTGATTCCTTAGTCAGTGTCTAGAAATCTTTACTCCTAGATCTCTCACCACCTAACAAGAAAACTACCCTAGATTACAGGTAGAAAGTCTGAGAGGTACCTCTATGTTGTACAGCATGCCTGCTGATCAAATTATGTAAAGTGCCATAACATTCACAGACAATTAAAAGGCAACTGACATTAATTCAGTGTTTTCACAAGTCAGTATGTCATTCTGCATTCAAAATTAGCATGGTCATTTATTTTGAGATATTATAGTATCATTTGGATATCTAATAGAATGCTTGGATTTTAACCACTAATTAATCAGCACAAGTGGATTAACTAAATGGTAAATTTATAAAGATGATGTCAGTCTTATACCTAAGCATTAACAGAGGCTGAAATTATAGCTGGGGTATTGGAAATCATCAATCATCTTGATTCCAAACAGCATCGTAAACTAAATGAAAGGAGCAATTAAATTAAGTTGTTCCCTTTAAAAGTGCCTACATTTTTAAGCCCATGCAACCGAGTAAAGTGTTTGTGGTTAGGTCCATCAGTCTTTCTCCTGGGAGAGCCACTCTGAATGGACTAAAAGAGAAATCTTTTTTTTTTCTTCCTCCTTTAAAAAGCTATATGGGTTAACTATGGGCCTTTCCCCTACTCTATTTGCTAAATAAACAACAAATAAAGAACCCGAAGCTAACTACTGCATGTTGATCTTACTGGATGAGTATCTGAAAATGCTTTTTCATGGCAAAGAGAATCCTTTCTAATCCCAAATTCCATTACTTACATTGGTCACTTCTACGAACTATTTCAGAGATTATGCATTGCATTTAATCACCTATTTTAAACATTGAAATTGAATATCTGATAATGGAATTTACTCTATTCCTTAAATTTGCTACCCTACGAGAGGTTTAGCATCCACTGGAAGGAGTTTTATCTTGTTCCAGCAAACACATTCTGAGCAATTTAAGTATGGGATTTCTAGCCCTCAAATCTAAAACCCTGTCTTTTATATCACCATTTCAAAATCAACGAGATTTCTTATATTAGCCATGGGAAGAGTAGACTTGCAAATTGAAAGGCCAACGATCTCCCATTCATCTATTACTGGACCTAAAATTACTGTTTATTAGCTTCATCCTGTGAGTTATGAGATCACCATAGCTCACACTGAAAACATGCCAAATGCCCTAATGCCTAATAAATAGGAAAGGGGGGGCCAGGGCCCTCTATATACCAGCACTCATAAACTAGGCTGGACTCATCAGAGTGAGTACAAAAGGAATTTGAAAGGTGAGAGCAAGTTGAGATAACAGGGCCCAGGACAGAAAAGTTCAACGGGCAAATGAGGTGGAAGGAGAATGAGCCAAAGGGAAAAAAGGGAAGGACTAAATGGGAGTCCAGCAAGAGCAGTAATGATCAGTGCCCTCAAGCCCGAAGACCAAGGCTGTGAGACATCAGACCTTCAGGGAGAAAGCCAGCTTCTAAGGATGCACTATACCATAGGTGGACTGCAGTTGGAGACAGTTGTTGCCTAAGTAAACATAAAATAGTTTATTTTTTATAATATGTAGATCTGAGGATTTTATAAGAGCTCTCACACTTGTTTTGGCCAACGAACACATGGTCGTCAACCCTGTAAAATCAAGTATCCACGTCTTTTGTACTCTTACATCATGGATATATATGTAGATTTATCAAGACATACACACTCTCTACATTTGATTATACATAAGTTTGGAGGTTAAAATTTCAGGCAGTTTAGTCACAGTGAAATAGGGTTTTCCAGTCTCTTTAATGGACTCTGACACATTAGTTGAATCTAAGATCTTTACTAATTTGTACTCAAGATGAGTACATATAAAATTTCCCTGAACCTCTTTCTTTTCCCTGAACTTTTCTTCCTGATTATAATTTAAATAAAATGTCCCATAATTAATTTTCAGAATATAAATGTCTCACTCCTACTTGCCATGAATCATTTTTTAATTGCCCTATTTCTTGACCTAGTAATTATTGCTTGTCTGAATTACATTAGTTCTCCCCTCCCCCAATCAACCAATCTGGACAATATGTTGTAACATTATAAAAATTTACAAGTGTATCTTACAAACCAAAGTGGAAAGCTATTTTTTATAAATACACTCAAGTATTATTTTATGGATGCCTTTATCTAGCAACCATCTATTCAACCCTGGAGTAAGAAAGCTTCAAATGAGGCTTAAATATGGGGAATAATATTCCCACACCACGAATACCATGAAGATTGTCTTAGTAAAATGTAGTTCAGACATATCAGTAAATAAACGCATTTTAAGTGTCCCCAACTTTTGAATAAATAGTATACAAATAGATATTTTCATTTAGTATCAGAATTCTGGATTCAAGCTAAAACCAGCATGCAATTGGTACTGATTTTGCCTATCTTTTGCCTACAACATATCCTCCTCTCTTTTTTTTTTTTTTACCAAAAAAAAACCGATTTTAACTCAATTTTCCAGAATATGCAAGTGGAAAAAACAGGCTATAAAGCATACACTGAGAAATACCTACCTATCAATTATTTAAATTAATTTTGAGAAAATTAGAGAAGGGAAAAATTGATTTGGGACAATGGATCTTCCTTCCTATACGCTCAGAGCAGAGGGCCTACACAGCTCCTTAGAATTCCCTATGTCCTGTTTTCACTAAACATATTTGGCTTTTCCACTCCTTTGGAAATGTCTTTTATTATTGCACCTTCCACCAAATATTAGCACATGGCCTTATGGCAAGAGGCAGCACATCAGGGTAGAAATGCTGTGGCCCTGGGAGTCAGAGCTGGGTTTGAATCTCAGACATGCTCTTTATTCCTCTGAGCCTAAGCTGGAGTGTCATTGCGAGGGCAATCTGAGATAACCTAAATTAAAGCATGTGTCACAATACCTGCTACACGATCGGCACCCAAAAAATGTAGTTTTCTTCATTCCTTCCTTCATTGAAAAAAATAAAAGTAAAGTTCAAAAAAGCCACGTTATACAAATATTTTAAAAACGAATAATTTAGCAATGCTTCCACCTTAGAGCCACTGTATCAAATGATCTTTTCAAAGGTACACTTGGGGGTGTGACCACACACAATGGACAAATTAACCTGTTTTGTACATATTTGTCAAGCCAAAGAAAAATATGTATGCAAGACACCACCAATATCACAGATGAAATGAATAATAACTTGAATAATAACTTAAAATTTCATCAAAGCCCTAAATACATACTAAGAGATATTTTAGTAAACATGTAACATCCAAGAAGCCTGATTTTCAAAGTCCTTGAACATATAAATACAACTGAAATACACATTCAACCTTGAGCCCGTTCACAGATCCCTTGACAAACTAAACAAGCAAAGAGAAAAATACTAAACAAGAGTTCCTTTGCCCATGGTAGGTGTCTTAGCACTTTCCAACACTTTAAACAGAGCTGCTCAATTTGGAAATCCTGTCGGATAATAAAATCAAGAAGAAACAAAGCAAAACAAAACTTTTATTTGTGACCCCCAGACCTAGGGTCACTCTCCTAAGCCCAGGAAACTCTACACCAAAATTCTGGGATTCAATCAATAAAATGTATCAAATTTAAGCTTAATGGCACAAGATGCCAATATTATAAATGGGTTAACGAAAACAGCTACTTCCACATTGGGACATACACAGTCTTCCCACACATTGATTCACTCACAGAGGAAGACCCTTTTGAAGAAAAACAAAAAACAAAAAACAAAAAACCTGTGTCTTACTTACATAGTTTGCCTTCTCCACGCTCCAAGAGTCTAGCATTATGATATAAACAGGCATTTAAATAATATCAAAAAGATAAAATAAATGAATATAATAAACAGAATGTAACAAAAACCTAGGCATGATAAAATCAAGTCCTGCTATCATCACACCATCTCTGTATCACTAATAGTAATAACCCTGCAAGGCATTATAACTTTTCAGCAGGTATCAGACATAACACAAATTCAATACAATCAGTTAGATGTAAAATACAGACTTAGTAGCACCAATATAAAGATCAGTCAACCCAGATCCAGTATAACAATAGTTATAGTTACCCCACAATATTACACAACCTAAGAAGGTAGAGAAAAGCTTTTGGTAGGGCAAATTCTACCTCTACCTAAATAAACGCTTAACAATTCATATCCAATATGATTTTACTTCTAGATGCCTTGAAAGTTGTAACTGAGTCTTAGCTCTAAGCCACACTAAATTGGCAAAGCCAAAAATTATCTTCATATACTCTGTAACATACTGTAGAATTTCCATGAATATTATACACACACATACATATATATACAGAATCGATTATAGTCAAGCTTGCAATTTCTATAAAGCATTATTATGAAAGTTCATTTTCAGAAAGAATTTATATAACTACAAGAGTTGACGTCATCTCCATATTTTTTCTTATTAATATAGTATTTGTCTTCTCTCTGTCAAACCCGGAGCCAACCCTGGGGTTGGTTCCTATACCGCCTGGGGAGGTAGAGGAAAATGAACATACAGGGCAGATGAGACACGGGAGAAGGACCTATGGGAGGTGGAGAGGGCTCCTTCCCATGGCGAAGAGGATGAGAAAGGCCACCAGCAGGCACAAGAGCCCCCTGGCGTCGGAGAGGGCAAAGCCCAGAATGGCGCAGGAGAAGAGCTGTTGCTTCAGGGAAGGGCTCCTGCCATAAGGGATGATGAGGCTCCCAAACACGGCCCCGCTTCCAGCCCCAGAGCCAGCCACCCCTACCATGGCAGCCCAGCCCCAGTGCGCTTGGAGCCTGTGTCCATGTCCCGTGAAACGGTGCTGGTTCAGAAGCCGTGGTTAGGAATAAGTGAGGTCGGGGGACAAGGGGCTGCCAAGCTGCTGAGGCTCTCATCTGTCAGCGTCTCCGGAGGGTTTAGCATCACTGCGGCCTGTGATGGGCTCAGCAGCTGAGAGGGGCTCCTGACCGAGAAGGGCGTGGAGACCACCTTTGCACCAGCAGACATTTTCAGGGGCTGAGGGCCCGTGAGAGCAGCGCTGCTCCCGGGGCAGAGAAGACGGAGAGCTGCTGTAATCTATATTTTTAAATGATACTAATTAATGATCTTATTTATGTGATACTGCTAGAGAGATCAATATATGGCCAGCACATTTACATAGCAAACTATGAAAACTTGAAGATCTCAAGAAGTGGTCAAGTTATTTTACAAGTCCTATATTAGTTATAATATAGCTAATATAATACAGCACTCCATGTGACTTATTACTTAGCACCTCAATAGGTAAAAACAATTAATTCTTTGGTATGGAGATCAGCAACCTCTGTTCATTAGGAAAACATCAGCCTGATCAAGAAGTTCAAGGAATCTGAGATTTGACTGATTCGGCAGATAGTTTCCTGTATGATGAAAGAACACAGCCATGTGCCAAAATGAAACAAACCTAAATGCCAAGACAGGGCCAGAACAAGGTTGCACTACAGTTGCTTTTGTTCTCTGCTAGGTGGGAAGGACACAAAGCTGAATAAAGCACACATGTGCTCTGAGAAAAGACTGTGGAATTTCCATTGCTTATCAGAGTGATCTGGCTCTTTTGTTTGCATTTTAATCAGTTCAGATGAATCCGTTCAGAATACACTTCAAATACAGATGAAAATTGTGAAATAACCAATATCTTTAAAAAACTTGATTCAATTTGTCTGCATTTTATGACAACGGGTGAGAGATCAGAAATCATTAGATACAGCTTGTTCAATTGAAATACAGAGATTGATTTGTCTGATAATGATTCGAGCTGAACTCCAGGGTTCCACACACAGCAGCTCTTAGACTTTAGCATATATAAGGTTTACCTGGAGAGCGTGTTAACTCCATAGATTGCTGAGCTCCAGCCAGAGCTTCTGGGTTAGCAGGTCTGGGGTGGAGCCCACGGATTTGTTTTGCTGACCGGCTTCCAGGTGTTGCTGATGGCTTTGGTCCTTGAACCAACCACACTTAAAGTAGCATCGCCATATACGGTCTCCGGCTCTGGGATTGGCCGCCTCTGAATTCCAGGACCCCCCTCATAATCCAGCTCTGGTCACAGCTGAGTCACATGAACAACCCCAGCAAAGGTTTACCAATATGCCTTAAAAAGTAGTCTTGCAATACTTCTGCAATGCAGTTACTGAAACCGACCCCGCAAATGCTGATTTGCCGGCTCTAGTTTTGTGACACACTAGGTTATCTCCAGTTATCTCCAGGGGTGATATAAAACTTTCACAAAATTAGTTTCACTCCATTTTAATCAAATGAGGCTCACATCTGGAAAATGAATGCAAAATGTGTTGGTTAAAATGAAAGTAAAGAACAGCTGAATCCATTAGCTCTGCTCTTATAACCTACAGCTCTTGGCTTAATTTTGTTAAATTCATTGAGGATTTTGCTTTTAACTTGGACCTTGGGCCTCATTCTAACGGAGCGGCAAAATGCTGTGGTCAAGTTGCAAACTATTTATGGAAGGGTAATTACAAATATGCAAAGACTCTGATGAACCCAGTAACCAGCAGAGGCGCGGTGGCACTGCCCCTCTAGGGGTAAAGAGACAGATGACTTACGCGTCCTTCCTTCCACTAACACCTTAGCTCCAAAACGAGTTATTGAGAACTAAAATGATAGTCCTTAAAAACTGATTATTTATCTCTATCTTCAAGCTAATGGTAATTATTTTCTAAAAGAATATGTTTTTTCCCAAGTGGCAGAAAATCACTCTAGAAGCAAACATGAAACAAAACCCCCAAGTCTTTGGGGGAAAGGAAAAGCTTATTCTAAATGTATGAGAAACTATTATTCAATACTTTCCCCAATACACGTATGCAGCTACTTATGAATTTCTAATAGTTTGTTTTTCAAAGTCGAACAAGACATGAAATAAATGCCTACCACCTGCTTACCAGACTGCTATGAGATTTAGGGTTTACAAAAAAAGCAAAAAGGGCACAGGAACTCTTTTTTTTTCTGTTCTTAAAACACTTAAGTTCATCACAGGGAGACAAAGGTATCCTATATGTAGAAAAAAAATATAGAAAACAAGTGTCAAAATGCCTGACACTATTTTTGCAAAAGAAATATAGAACAGAGTAATGACTGTGGATAAGAATACTGGGAAGCTTCTTGGAACACGTGAGACTTCCACTGGACATTTTCAGTGTGGAAGATTTAGATGACGAAGGGGGGAGAGGCAGGGCATTACCTGAGCAACGGTAAGGAGCAGGGACTGGAAGTGAATGGCTGTTGTGGGATGGGGTATAGGAAGATAATACTGCCTTGCTGGAGGAGAGGTTCCTTATGGCCTAGAGAGAAGGAAGGAAGGAAGGAAGGAAGGAAGGAAGGAAGGAAGGAAGGAAGGAAGGGAGGGAGGGAGGGAGGGAGGGAGGGAGGGGAGAGAGAAAGAAAGAGAAGGAGGGAGGTTGGGAGGGGAAAGAGAATTCACAAAATGTGTGCACTGCATCAAATGGAGCTGTGTCTAAATTTTATTGTCTACCAGCCATTTAATAAATATTTAATGAGAACCAATCATGTACTAGCCATGCATTAGGTGCAATGGACAAGGTACACGTACCTAAGGTCAGTTAATAACTCCTCCAAGCACCACGAAACATAAGAATCAGTCCCATCCTTCTAAAAGCAGCCATAAACTTGAAAACCAAGCACCAAAGGGAAATCACTGCACTCTCCTGAACAATGACAAAACTAAGGATGTCTGAATTACAGGATGACAAAAAAGGTGGAATTCTCCTGAAAGTGGAAAGTTCAACTACTGCTTGCCACAATTCCCTTTCATAAAAACTTCTATGTAAAGAGTTTATAGTATAGCTTTCAGAGTTCAAAAAGATGTAATCAAACCAGGTGTTGATTACCAAAGAGAAAAGAGGGAAGAAGGAAGACAGGGCATGCTTAATCTTTTTCCAGTGTTATCCTTTCAATAAGAGAAGCACACATTTTCACCAGTTCATTACAAAACCTGATGACATTTACATGTTCAAACACATATTCCATTTAAATGAATGCATTCTGATTATTATAATTAAGCTCCTACCTGAAATTTATAATATATGCTGAAATAAATTGCATTTCTTTATTTTGCAGTCTCCTAAACTATATTGGTCAAAGTGCCTTCGGGCACATTCCCTACATATACAAATCTAAATGGCAAAAGCAAATAAATGAATGGGTTTGTGAGCAACCTGTCTTGTCATTTGTAGTTTTCCTTCAAACAGAGGGAAATAAAATAAGAAAATAAAAGTAAGTAAAAATAGGTAACTCCAACAGGATCTTTGAACTTTAGGTACTCACTGGTCAGAAGATTGAAAATCAAGCTCATTTGACAAAAGGCATAGTGAATGGAATTACTGCTATAAAAATTTTATGTATATGGCTCTATAGTGACTCAACTTTTTTTTTTTCAAATTATGGAAATCTTTTAGATTCTAAAAAATAAAGCTATTATCAACACGAACAGATTAATTAAATAGCCAAAAAAAGTTTTAAAAAATACCATAGTACTGGACTAAATAATTCTTGCCTGAAGAAATTGTGGTGCAATTCCTTAGCATAGTCTGAGGTGAGAATAACATGACAAATCACGATCTATTCAGCTCTCATCAGCTTAAAAAATTAGTACCGTCCAATAGTAAGTTATAAAATCAAAGCTCCAAATGTCTTTGGCAATATATTTTATTTTGCCAAATAAAAACAGCAGTGATGCTAAAAACCACACTAAAAACCAGAGAGTAAAGTTTTAAATGGCTTTAGAATTAAATCTTTCAGTGAGTAAATTCTTATGTTAAAATACTCAGTGTCACATTTTATATTATTAAAATTACAATAAAAAACGTGTTACTTCTGAATCGAGAGATACTTTAAGACATCTGAAGTAAAGGGGGCTTTTTAGGTATCAGCCTACTATGTATAAATGTTCAAAATTGATAGTTGCATTGCTTCTCATTTTAATGTATGCAGTTTTGTAGTACAATTAAAAGCATCAGACAGAACATAATTAAGGAATGGAACAGCAGTATCTGTTATATCCTCTTTGAACATACAGATGTTAAATGATCATACCTCACCAGTACATGCCTACTGCAACTCATGTTTCACTTTCCAAATGCTCAGGGTTTAAAACAGAGCAGACTGCACTTTTGATAACATCTGCTACAACAAATAACAAAAAAAGAGTGTGAAGTCTGATGAATGTTTAAACAGAACATTTTTTATGGATCAGCTAAATCTTTTCTGCTTTTTAATTAAAAGTAAAGAAAATGGAACTTAATTATCCTGTAAAGATTAGCTTGTGGGCATCTTCCTGTAAATTACTTCTAATTGAAAGCAAATTGTCAAGTGACATTCAAAGTACTGTCCTTTAAAACACAGCTGTTTTACTGCTGATTTCAGTGCATTGCAGTGGTTTCTTGTTACAGTATGGCATATTTGAATATTTTAACAATTTCACTGGTTTTGTATAGATTTCCATTTAACGTATCTTAATCATATTTCTTCACGTAAAAAAGTTAGCATCGTAAGTGGTTTGCCACATCTTGAACCAGCCTATCATGAGAGCCCTCCACTGAGGTTTGCTTTTTTAGATTTGTTGGCTTAAAGTACAGCTACATCTGGACAACAATGGTCCAGGAAGTGGGTGATTATACTCATTAGACTACTGTCACAAACCAAATCTGTAGGATACCTGTATAATTAAGTCACAGTTTATTGATGCTTTAAAAATACATGAAAAATTCAAATGAAATTCATACTAGAAACTGAAAATGAACAATTTTTAAAATTTAGTGCTTGATAAAAACTCCAATTCTTTTTTTTTAAAGATTTTTTTTGTTTATTTTTTTATTTATTTGAGAGAGAGAGAGGGAGAGCACAAGAGGGGGCAGGATCAGAGGGAGAAGCAGACTCCCTGCCGAGCAAGGAGCCCGATGCAGGACTCGATCCCGGCACTCCAGGATCATGACCTGAGCCGAAGGCAGTCGTTTAACCAACTGAGCCACCCAGGCGCCCAAAACTCCAATTCTTTTTGAAAATTTTAAATAAACACCTAAAGGGCAATATGAAGAGAGCTAACATAGGAATTCTTAATGTAAGACTTTAATATGAAGACTCGTAAGATGCAAATGAGAAACACAAATGCATTAGCCCATTAAAATATGGTTCTACTTCTATCCACTTATATATGTATCCATCCACCAATTACTTTGACTGGTAACTATTGCTTAGCACTGTACTCAGCACTGGAGACATAATAAAATCGACAGAATTCAAGCTCTAACAGGACTTACACTCCAGAAGAGGAAGAAAGAAAATTTAATCCTAGAAAATTTCTGGTGTCAGGAATCTGTGCAGGATTCTGGGCGTAGATTGTTTAAAACAACTCAACAAACAAAAGTTCTTACCTGCATGGAGTACTTATTTCAGGTGATGATAAATGCTTTGAAGAAAAATAAAGCAGAGTAGGGTGACAACCACTGACAAAGGAAGGAGACATATCTTCTATGGGGTGGTCAGGGAAGACCTCTCTACTAGAGTACCACTTGAACAGAGTCCAGATGGATTTCTGCAAGGGAGGCACGCACACTGTGCATTATGACAGTACAGAGAGGAGTCCCTTCAGAAGAATTAGAAAAGAAGAATTTTGATAGTCCAAAAACACAGCTTGAGAAAGGCCAGAGTTAGGAAGGTAAAAGATTATTAATCATGTTTGAAGACTTACATGTTGGCTTAGCTAGTAACATGATTCAAACCATGAACCCAATGAATGCCTACTTTATATCCCCAGGTAAGTAAATTATGTTCCCAAACTGTATATTTAGCTCAAACTGTATGTAGTACATATGGCTTATTTTTACATTATGATACACGAATGATTTTCTCCAGAGCAAAATAATCTGTATGAGTTGCCCTAACTATAACTGACTGGTAGAGATAAATAAGGTAGGCAAGTAGGTAGGCAGTAGATGGGTCTGTAAGCAAGCAGACAGATAAATAAGGTCTAAATATTAACATCCAAAGATTTTCTTCTCAATAAGCAAAAAAGCATTCTGTAACAGTGCAGGACTAAATCTTAAGCACAATTTGGGCTGTGTTTTTATACCAACATTTATGGAGACGGTCTAAGAAAAGGTAACTAAAAAGCAAATCCTGACTTTATTCTCATCTGCTCAACCACACTAATATATCCAGAAAATGAAAGGGAACAGAAAGAGAAAAGAAAGACAGTGAAATGGGAACTTTGGATGTTTTTTAAAGTCACTTCCAAAGAACTGGAAGACAAAACGCAAAAAAAAAAAAAAAAAAGGAGTAATGCCTGGACTTGTTTACAAATCAAAGTCATGTTCTTCCTTAGTGTTGAAATGATGTGGGCTCATGTATTGCCAATATCATAAATCCTACTAATTATCTTTAACAGAATTCACTGAAGGGGGTTTAAAAAAACTATGTCCTAGTAATTATATAAATTATAATTGAGATGTAGAAAATATACATTTTATTTATTTATTTATTTGTTTGTTTTTTAAGTTTTGGTTTTTTTTTTTAAGATTTTATTTATTTATTTGACAGAGACAGACACAGCGAGAGCAGGAACGTAAGTAGGGGGAGTGGGAGAGGGAGAAGCAGGCTTCCCGCAGAGCAGGGAGCCCCATGCGGGCTCGATCCCAGGACCCTGGGATCATGACCTGAGCCGAAGGCAGACGCTTAACAACTGAGCCACCCAGGTGCCCCGAAAATATACATTTTAAAGCACATGAATTCAAACTATGAAATTAAATTAAAATACACAATTTAAAGCAATAAAAGAAGCAAGCATATTTTAGTTAGGCATGTTAAAAACTAAGCTTCCAGTATGGACACAAAATTAAAATGTCATCTTATGAAACAACGTTTAAAACATCCAACAATGTACAAAATCAGCACAACACTTTCCATCATGCACCCAAAACTTGGTCCCAAACTTGAGATGCATAAAGTTTAAGAGATTAGGCATCAGTTGGCCACAATTAGTCTAGATTAAAAAAAAAAAAAAACTAATCTAGCAGACTTCTTCACTTAAGCACACATAAGAACCACCCAAAGCGCTTGTTAAAACCCAGATTCCTGGGCCCCTCCCTCAAGGTTATGGACCAGTAAACCTGGAGTAGAATTCAGGAGTTTGCATTTCTAACAAGTTTTCAAGGGAATGCTGAAGCTGCTGGATTCTAGGGAAATGGTGATCATTTTGGCTAAACAATTTCTCCATTAATTGAATACTATTAGTTTTGCTTTTATATAAAATTGAACCATTTTATCCAAAGGGAAAAATGGTCACCTATCTTTTCACACCGTGAATTTTGAAAATAAATTTTAAAGGAGACAAATATTTGGTTTGGAAAATAAAGAAATATTTCTATCCCAGTAAATAGTCCAGATTTCACTTATTTACACTTTCAATCACCAATATTATTGTGAGCCACATTTAATCATTACATATATAAAGATAGTGAACCCAATTTCAGGGTAACCCAGATTCTGATGAAAGGAGTGTGAGTCAGGATCTTTAAATACAAAACTGAATTTGTACCTAAATATTCCAGTTAAATTCAATGTACATTTTATGACTTTGAAATAAAATAGAATATAGTGATTCTTACACCAGGGAAAATATAACTCAATTTCATATCCTCCAAAAGTCAACAAATAAACACTATGATAATATGCTAAAATATCTATTATGATAAAAACCCATTCATTTGTTCAGTGCCCAAAAGAAATTAGAATTTGTTTACTTTTTCTTTGTTCCCCCCCTTACCTTGAGAAAGCCATCCTTTCCTCTTGCTACCAAAAACCTTCCATTTTCTTTAGCTTTCAGCTCAAGGTTCAGGCAATACAAAGCCTTCCTATCTAAATCTACCCGACTCTATTTATCTGATTCTTCTTCTCTGAATATTTTTATTACTCAAGTATTTCATAAACTTTTGAGTGGAACTTTCTGTCTCCTTTTTGTGCTACAGCATTCAGAATAAATGGTCAATGAGGAGTAGATTGTCATGTTTCTTTTCATTTTCAACACACACCTCCAACCGAGGAAATCACTATTACCCACCCGATTGCTTTAACAGACTCCCAGATGGGCTGCCTGCCTTCAGCTTTTGTAATTATTGTTCGATGATACCAAATTGTTGGATTGTTTGATCCCTGCCCAAAAACTTAACACTGATATTCCAAAATCAATGAATTATAGAATTTCCAAAAATGTAGAAACTCTAAAAGTCTAGTTCCAAAGCTATAATTGTTTTCTTTATCCTTTCCTTCTGCACCCTAACCTGCTAAAATGTATACATCCCTTAATCCAATAATCTTACTAATTGAAATCTATTCTTTGAGAAAAACCTAGAAGCAAATGACTATATGCATTAATTTAGTCATTGCAGTAACAGTTACAAAAATTGGATACTAGCGAAATAGCTTAAAACAGAATATTTAGACAAATTGTAGTAAATCGGCTGAGAGACAACAGAGCAGAAACGCAAAATGAAAATCAGTAAGACCATGTAAAAATATGGAAAATACTTCTTCTAAGCACAATAAAATTATATCTATATTATGACTATATATATATAAACATGAAAATATAGAAAATGGAAAAACCAATGTATTGTGATAGGTATTTTTTGTTTATATTGTTTTTGTAAAACATTGGGATCAGTACACACCAAATACAGACTTCTACATCTTCTATATCTCCATCTCTGGAGTTATGCAATATATGTAATGAGCTTCATCATTTAGAATGATAATGCAGAGTTTCTAGAAGGTCTTAAATTACCTAAGTTTCATTATGTTCACCTTACACGAGGCATAAACTCTTCACTGAGAATTTCAGTAAAGGTTGTAATAAAACAGAATTTCTGGATAACCATCAGTTAAGTTAAATTAGTCAAAATATCCAATGGTTCATTCCAGGTCTTACCTAGTATTGTGTACTAGGATAACTAAGAGCAGATAGGTTTTGTTGTCACATTCTTTGTTACAAGGTTTGTATACAATGACAGACCATATTACTCAGGCCTTCAGAACTGAATGGGAATTGAGCAGCTTAAGTCCAGGCCATTCCTTTGAAAAGGAATGTCTTCCAGCTATTTTTCTGTCTGGTTATATTGAATTTTCATATGGATCTAACTACAGGTAAATAAAAGCCAGAATAGCTCCATGACTGACTTATCCTCATTTCAAAATTCTGGCATTAAAAAAAAATTCCAGTACCTAATCAGTTAATATTAATGTGCTCAAAGATTTTGCATGTCTACTAAATAATAGTACAATCTTATAGTAGGACAGTTTAAACCCAGACTCCTTGGGCTCATTTATCATCTTTTTCTGTAACCCTGCAATAGTTCTTTTGGAACAGAGGAAGAAGATAAATGGATCCCTGAGAAACAAATATTTACAAACCTTTTGAAAATGCTTTTTAAGTAGGAAAGGAAATATTCCATTATCTATGCTGATCATGTGAGAATTCACTACACAGGATCAAGTAGAATGTGTGCTGTTCAACCTCATAATTGTTTGCAAATAAAATCAACCAATTCCAGATTTCAAACTTATAAATGAAATTCCAAATCCCAGTCATCTTTTTACATAATTACAAAGGGGACTCTGATTGCCTATTCTTAAATGGATTATTACTATATGGAACATCTACCAGGACCTTTATTGGTTTACTGTTGTACAGGCCCCATCACCTGACCCTCGAAAAGAAGCAAACAGGAGTTAGCAAAAAACATCAATGGTAAATTCCAGTCCCCGAGTTTCACATGATCACTGCACACATTAACCATTAATATCCTTTCTGGTTGTTTTAACTGGAATAAGAAACATTTCTTCTATAAAAACAAGAAATAACTTGGAAAACTGAATAATACAAACAATAGTCTAAATTTTTCCTTTCACTCTGCTTATATAGAAAAAGCCATAAGGAAACACATCGGCATTTTGGTCACAGCTATAGCCATGACGAAAATCTGATGCGTGTCATTTAATCGGACACTCCAGAGATAACAGAGAACCCTTAACTCCTGGAAAAGCAATTCAAATCATAAGATGGTAAATTAAATTAAATTCCTGGCTTCTTATACAAATGCCTTCATTAAAAAAGAAAATATAAACATGTAAAGCATGGATTATTCAGCATTATATATGTGTATACATACATATGTGTGTTTGTATATATATATATGTACATACATACATATATACACACACATATATATGTACATATATATATATAAAATACTATGCTTTGTTGTTACTGTTTTCTTGGTCCTTACTATATGATTATTCATCTATCCACGCAGACTATGATGAGGCCTGTGAGAGTCTCAAAAACCTAACAAAATTTATAAGGAAAGAAAGACTAATGAGTAGAATTTACATCCATCAATTGATCCTGCCCCAATACTTCAAATATTACACACACACACACACACACACACACACACACAGACTTCTCAGTGTTCTCAAGATTGGGATAAGGGCATTTGAGAAATGTAGTTTAAGAACACTGAATTGAGATAATTTATCAGGATCTCCTGTGACTTAAACATAACCCTTAGTGTGTTATTTTTCTCTATCATTTTTGTTTTCTTTGTTATTATTTTTAATATGGTAAACATGTCCGACGGCTGTAGTATGTTTTCCCAATCCAAACGTGAATGATAAAGACAAGCTACTAATTTTAAATTTAAGCACTTGAATAAGCCGGAAGGGGGATAAAGCATAAACTGTAACAGAGAACACAATGGAATGGAAATTGCTCAGACTAACTATGCAACAGGGCAAAGCACTCTGACAGATGCCATGCCACGAAAGAAGTAAAAGTAGGTCACAGGCCACCTTTGGGATCCTGTCACTGCTGGTTGGGTACAGCATTCCTCTTCCCCATACCTACAGCCTACTACTAAATGTTACAACATTACTCATCCTTTCGAAATATAACCTCTTGGAGACAGGAGAGACAGGGTTCTGAGCTGAGACCTTCACACATCTCATAATAAATACGCTTCTTTTTTCCAGTAAGGTTTATGGATGTATCTTATTAACTTTCTATAAAAAAAGTAATGTGTTAAGTGTGTAAGACTATGCCAACCCTAAGCTAAATCTCACAAGCTTTGAGAAAATAGGTTTTTATGGACATCAATGACTACAAGTTCTATGTTCAATACAGGCTTTTGATTCACGATCAGTAAATTGAAATTTTAATGTTAAAAGAATAATCAGGGGCGTCTGTGTGGCGCAGTCAGTTCGGTGTCCCACTCTGCATTTCAGTCCAGGTCGTGATCTCGGGGTAATGAGATCGAGCCCCACATTGGGCTCTGTGCTCAGAGCCAAGTCTGCTTGAGACTCTCCCTCTTCCTCTGCCCCTCCCCGCCTCTGTCTCTCTGTCTCTCTCTCTCTCAAAAAAAAAAAGAATAATCATACTTAATTGAATACTAATACATATTTTATATCAGCATTAACTATTTCTTCAAATAGATAGTTGAACCCATAATAAAATCATCAAATTCCTCCACTACATAACTTGTGCATAACTTGGTATGAAGGACAATGGCTTATGCACCTTTCTATTTGTGGCACTTAGAATTATACCACATATAAAAGGGGCAAAGAGAAACAGATCCAGGAACTGGAAGATCTGAAGCTTATACAGTTGGGGGGGGGGTGGCCTCTCCGTGAAAGGATACAAAATTGCAAATAAAATGTATGTATGAAAGCAAATATTTATTTAGAAAGAGAAATCTTAGTAAATTGCAAATATTAAAAATATGACCATTATCTTTCCAGCTCAACTTCCCCTTACAATGATCCCAATTATGACTGCAGCTGTTTTGAAGTATGACAGAAGGAAAGTTAAAGAGAAATGATTTAGCAGTCTTAATCAGTTATAGTTAAAATAGCTTGATTTTTAAATTTTTATAAAAACAGATTACCTGAACACACTGCTTGAGCCCCTCCCAAAGCCATAAAAAGGGCCTCAGCTAGCCAGGGTCCTGACACCTTGAGCTTGTCTAGATTCCATAAAAGTTGACTGTTACTGATAATATAACAATGATAATGAGGACTTTCATCTATAGATACCAATGAAATGCTTTTAGAATTGACCTGAGAGACTCAAAACACTCTAAGGCCCATCTAGAACATGAAATCACCTAAGAATCTACTGTTGTCTTGCCCCTTAACTCCTCAATCCCCATCACCCACTACCTTCCAAATATCCATTAAATAATAAATGTAGCAAGCGATTATCCAGGCAAACCTTTACTTGCTTTCTTCCAGAGACGCTCTCTACCCTTCAATGAAGGCCATTCCATTTTGAATAGTTCTAACTGTTCTGCTGATGCAGAACCCAAATCAACCCATATGTGGAAAGCAGACCCAGAATGCCCTTGGAAGTGATTTCTTCTGAGCTACAAAGAAAGCTAATTCCTTTTCTATGTGAGTTCCTCAATTATCTGAACATAACTCTCAAATGAAACCTGTATTTTTCTTTTCCTGTTAAATATCTCCAATTCCTTCAGCTATTGCCTGGCTGTTAACATCCTCCAGACATAGCTGAGTTTTAAGAACGGCATGGACATTCAGTATAATACCCTGAACTTGACTGACTAGTATAAAGCAGAGCAGGACTCCTTGTTAAATATCGAACACTGCACAATCATTCCAGACTCCCAGTAAAGACCGACAATTAACTGAAATACCTCTGAAGTTTTAATTTTGGTAGCATATATGGTTCCCTCTTCTTGTTCTATAGTTGACTTTTTTTAGCCAAAATTCAGGATGTTATTAAATGTCACCAACAGTTTTAGAACATCATTCAAGCCTGCATAGTTTTGAAAGTTGATGCTTCCTTTAAGAGACATAGTGAAACCCATTTAAACAAAAAGAATTCAAAAATTTCGGGCATGTATTAAGTCAGTCCCTCTCCACCTTCAGCACTTGAGTCTGTCTCCAGAAAAATCAGTGATATATTTTTATTGGTTCATGTACCAGACCCAGCAGTTTAGGCATGAGAGGCACTGGTAGAGATTATAAGAAACCCAGAGATATATTACTCCACATTTACAGTTTTCATATCCAGAAAAATAAATGATAGTTTGTAACAATGAGTCTGAATTGGTTGTTTCTCTTTCAAATAGAATCAACACAAGTGCAACTGATAAAGAGAAAGCAAGTTCTTTGCTGGGGGGTGGGAGGGATTGTTTAAGGGATTTTTGTTGTGAGTTTGACCTAAATAAAAGATAAAATAGAAGAACTTATATTCCTCTGTAAGGAGTTTTCCAGCCTTTTTCCCTGTGGCTCTCTTATTCATTTTATTTTCGTTAAGTAGACAGGCTAGTCCAGATGAAAATATTAATGCTCCATTATTAGTATCTAAATGTCTCAAACATTTTTCTTGAATTCAGCTTTGTGTCTTTTCCTTTTTTCAAGTTATCCATCTGTACTCAGCTTGTGCTTCTTTCTAGACACATGTTCTTCCAGAGTTTTCCTGGAGCAACTGTGCTTCCTAATTCTTAGATAGTTTCTAAGAGAATATGACAATACCTGCTCCCACCTCTTAACCCCTTTAGGTTGAATGTGAATGAATGATTCAACATAGATCATCAACCTGACTTTCTCAAAGGAGATTTTGACATTATAATAAATATATGTGGCAGAAAGGTTAACTTATCACTTAAATATGAAACAGATTTCTTTATAACATGCATATTCATGAAAACAGACAATAAGGTATCATTAAGTGTGAAGATGTCTTCAAAGAGTACTGTCAACTCATCTACTCCTACCCGAGAAGACATTTATTTGAAATCTTCCAAAGCATAAAGCTCTTTATGCATCCATAGTTTGGGTGTTTTCCCCCATGTTCTCCCCGAGGAGAGGAGTACATTTACTGACACTGGCAAATGCCTAAGCCATTTCATTAAGCCATCTCCAGTTGAACAACCAGTAAAGAAATTCTTCCCCCAAACGCCTAGTGAATCTTTCGCCTGAAGAACCAAAGGGTAATGCTTCAAAATGTTGCCAATGCCTCACGGTCCCAAGGAGCTCCTAAGGAGCTCTACAGGGTTCTGTGGTCACACACGTCCACTTGTATTAAGCAGTGATGCATGTTATGCAAAAGAGAATTAAATTGGAATTAAAACTTGACTTCAAACATGACTTCAAACCTAAAAAATTCACAGCTGGTACTCTAACAGTAGTGATAATGGTCAATAACAAAATTTCCAAGGATTGCCACTTAATCTAATCAGTCACCAATCAATATCCATTCAGAAAAAATATATATATATATACATATATACACACACACACACACACACACATATATATAATGAGGACATATTAACTGTGTTAATGTTACATATATTCATACAATATATTGTAATAGAAACTACTTCCCATAATATTGACAGAATAATGTAATTATTAATGTGACTAATTATTCCACATTTGTTGAAAATATTCATGTAAATACAATGTAAACAAGCATGTCTGAAAACTCCTAAGGCATTGTATCTCCCCTAGAGTAAAAGCCTCATGAGGGTGTGTTCTATGTCTGCCTTATTAACTCCATTATCCCTAGAACCTAACTCCATTTCTGACACATTTCTCCTCAAAACTTTGTTCAATAAAATCTAATGGTCTCCAACATGTTTTTCTGGCCTCCACACTATTCAAAAAGGTAACGACTTTCAGTTGGGCTGTTGGGGCCAGAGGTGGATCACAGTCTCTGGGAAACATTTGTCCCCTCATCCTTGAGAGTGGTTCCCAACAATTTACAAGGAAATATTAATTTTCTTGCTCCTCATCAATTGCACCAAGCTTAAGAAATTTTTGACCAACATCATTTAAGGATCCCAACAGTCACTCTTGGCCACATTATCCTATTTGGTTTTCCTCATACATTTATCCCAATCTGAAACTACCTTGTGCATTGACTGAATTACTGTTTTTATTGCCTGTTGCCCACTTTTAGAATATAAACTCGAAGAGAGCAGAGAACTTACCTTCCTAGGGCACGACTGACCTCCATACATAAAACAGTGCCAACAAGACTCAGAGAAAGATCACAATACATATTTGTTTATAGAATAAACAAAACTGCAGAAAAGAAATGATATAGAATTTCTTAATTAGCAGCCTCCATCATTTGTAAGACCCAACAGTAAGTTTTTCAGAAAAAGAAAAATTACAACATTAAATGGATTTATGGATTTTAAAGCAAGCTATATTCTTTTTTTTTTTTAAAGATTTTATTTTATTTTTTTGACAGAGAGAAACATAGCGAGAGCAGGAATACAAGCAGGGGGAGTGGGAGAGGGAGAAGCAGGCTTCCCACAGAGCAGGGAGCCCGATTGGGACTCGATCCCAGGACCCCGGGATCATGACCTGAGCCGAAGGCAGACGCTTAACGACTGAGCCACCCAGGCGCCCAAAGCAAGCTATATTCTGACTTGAGGAATATCATAATATTAATTCTCAAATCAAGAAATATATTTTGGCTTTGTCTTCTTATAATTATTCAAAGATTTATATAGTTGTCAGAGTTTCTCATCAACATGGATTAGAAAATGTCATCCCACTATGTGATAAATCCCAAGACTCACAGGAAATAAAACATATTAGTTGTTCTGGGCAGGTTTCTGAGTGATGACTTTCCAATTTCTCTTGAGCTTTTAGGACACTGTAATTACCTACTAGCCTCAAAGATTTTTAGACTGGGAAAGACCAGTGTAGTCACATCACCCCATTTCACAGATGAGAATGAATTAAGACCCAGAGGTTCAAGGATTGTTCTTTCAGGTTACCCAAAAAGCTAGAGAAGTCTCTCAATTGCCACATGTCCTTCATCTTTCTCAATGACTCTTTCCGCTTTTCTAAGAAAAAACACTTTGTACAAAGCATGGTACATAAGAGGAGCTCAATATATGTCAGTTTCCTTTATTCTTAGACTTACATGTGCTGGGAATAAATAAACAAAAAACCTAAATTTTCAAATCCTGTCATAGAGCTTAAGTTAATCCTATGGTTCTTTAAGATCTCCTTTATAACATCCGTTGTTAGACCGTGAAAAGTTGTGCTGGGGAAAACCAAGATGTTTCAAATAAGAATTCACACTGAAGTATTATTATTGACTTAAAAAATAAATAAAGGGGAGGAGGGGTGGGAGAGAGACAGACAGACAGACAGAAAGGGAAAGAGAAAACGACCCAGAATGTGAATGAGAGATGTCAACCATTCAGGAACTCAGCAGGTTCGTCAAGCTCTAGGTTTCATTTTAGCCCACTTTGCAGAGTTCAACTCTGATCTAACTACTAGCATGATTTTTGGGCATCTGTTTGCAGATGCAGTAGAGTTATCAATCCGAACAGACACACAATCCGGGTCCAATGTCACTTCTCCTCATTATGTTAATAGTTAATACATGCAAATGAAAACACTCTAGCAATTTGATTTCTTTGAAGATAGTTTGCATATTGTCTTAGCCATAATGACTGTACACTTCTCTCAGCCTCCATTTATGCAAGGGTAGTTTAGTTCATTTTTATCAGCTCAAGTTCATTTTGGCTGCTATTGGAATGTATGTGCATGTTTCTTTTTTACCTTTTGCCTAATTACCATTCAGGTACCATAAGCAGATTTTTCATGCTATTGGTGTTTTTCTTAATTAAGAAACAAATGAATTCTCCCTAGCAAAAAAGATGGAACAACAGAATAAGATGCCAGGGGCTGATGTTCTGTTTCTTAATTGAAGCAGTTCTATTGTTCGGTGTCGGTAGTGAGGGGGCAGAAATGTCAAAAGTGTAGAATGTTAATAGTACAAAAATAACATAAAACTACTTTTAAAAATAAAGAAGGGATACAAAAAAAATGCTGTAAGAGCCTTGAAAACATAGATTTCTATCCACATATTAATTCTGACAGTAACAGAGTAGCTTAATTTACAAATCCCTCACACTTAGAAAGCCTGAGGTTCTAACCTCAGTCCTGAGAGATATGCCTGCCCTTCTCTGCTTGTCTAGTTAACTGTACCCTACTTATTTGCTCTTCATCAATTAAGGAGACACCCAAGGGAACAATTTCTTTAATTTGTGAATAAACTCTTTCTCTTTTAATTTGCATTCTTTTTTTTTCCTACCCACAGTAAATTTCAGCGTCCTACTGACATATTCAGTAAGCATTACTACAACGATAAAATTAAGATGCATGCAAATTCGTACACAGTCCTCTTCCATTTTTCCTAGGGTGATGAAAACTTCAAGGAATCAAGATTTTTAGAAGAAAGCTGAGACTTTTACTCACTTCTGTACTGATGGCACAATTCTGACTAGTGAATAAAAAAATTACACGTTTTTCTCTTTAATAAAAGCTATAGGGTAGATATTCTTTCACTCATGGCTTTATCCCTTTTTCAGATGACTGAAGTCCCACCTTATTATTATTATTTAACTTAAATATTTTTAAAACATGAAAATCCATTATTGCCCTTTACAATAAGCTAAGAAAGATAAAATAAGAAGATTAAATAAGAAACACAAAGTAATACATTTTACCAATAGGGAAAGAACATTATAAAAAAAAAAAAAAAGACCCTGGGTATCAATTTCTAAATTAGTGAGTTTCTACTGATATTGATAACATTATAATTGCCATTATTTGGGTGTCTGAGTTATTGTATGGGATATATCTAAGAACCAGAGTAAAGAAATTTTAAGATATATAAATAATATATATGTGAATGAAATATTTCCTTCTGTAGTTGCTTCCTAAGTGGAGAAAAGAGATCACAACCTCCATACCTTGTCATAAGTATCTCTTTATATAGGCAAGATGACCCTTTATTTATTAAAATCTAATATTTTATAATAATGTGGAATATCATGAAAAAAATACCTTTAGGTTGCTCTGATAGCATAATTCATGGCTTTTGAAAAGTAAATAAATAATTTTAATTTGAGATGATTTTTAAAACATTCTATCAAAGTAAAGAAAATATTTCATGAAGTCATCCCAATGAATGTCAGTAGGACAATTTGAAGTTCTTTATAGAAAAGAAGATCAATAAAAAGAAAATTGTATAGTGCACAAAATTACATACATACACACAAGAAAAGATCATGTGTATAACCGTTATAAAATTCATAATCCATATTTTTGTGAAAGCCCTAAGATAAATTTCAAAGAGCTTTACTAACACAAAATCTGAAATCCTATGAAACTGTCAAGGGAGTTCTTAATGTGATTGCTTTTCATTTTACTAATTTTAAACAAAACTGTGAACCATAACCAAAAATAGATTTACATGTCTGTTTTCTTTATACTATGATATATTAGAAGAGGTTCTACTTTAGTCTATTTAGTAGAGTCACTTGCATAATAATACAATGTGCCATGATATTCAGTTACTGAGTTGGTTTTGATCAGGCAACCTATGAAATGAGACCTAAAGACAAATCTTTTCTTTTCTCACTTTCTTGAGCTTCTATGAGAGATAATGGCTGGGAAAACAGAGGAAAGCAAAGAATTTGGACCTTCAAGATTTACAGATTCTATATATAGGGAAGTATAGACCAGCATGAACAGAATTTTTTTTAAGACTATTTCCAGAAACCCATGAAATGTTATTATGTCTTCAAATTCTTCAAGTAGAGTCTACAAATGTCCACTATCAACCTTAATCCAGTGGCAAAATGTTTAGACAACGTATTTCCCTACCCTCACAGCAGCCTGGAGCTACTGTTTTGCCCCACCCCCACCCCCCAGTCTCTGACTTGCTAGCATGGTGTCCCTGCCAAATTCTTGGCATTGGAAGAGAGAGGGAAGAGGCCATACCATAACGTGTTGATAATGAGGAGATAGAAATAGCAAACCAGCTGGATTGTCCTAATAAAGTATGTCTGGGATTTAGAGACACAACAACTATGTGTTCAGGTCATCCAAATGCATTTTAACCAATTGGTTTCTTCAATGACCTTTTCAGATACTCCACTCAGGATCTTTCTAAATGAAATTTTGTGTATTAACTCCAGAACTGTCTGGAAGGCAAAAAAAGAAAACCTTACCACTCATGTTTTCTAGTAATATTATGATACCCAAGGCACTGCATGTTATTTAATGGAAAATTAGACAAAATGGTCTGTAACAGATTTCATAAATTTTAAAAACATTTACTGGTTTATAGCTATGTATGGGTGATAAATAGATTACATTTTACTATCAATATATTTTATATGGCATTTCCCAGTGAAGCTTGAAAGCTTTTCTTCCTTGGGAAGAAAACTTAAAAAAACTATTTTAGGGCTGTCAGAGCAAAAAGTTTCAATTACTTAGGATATTCAACAAGATCTCTCTTTTTACTCCAAGCAGGAACATTATTTACAAAAAAGAGAAGACTGCATTTAAATATTCATCTATTAAAGTATGCAAAACAGAGACCTTTAAATTTATATTTTAGATGCCTGGGGATTCTTATTCCTTCCTTTAAGAGAACAATTTATTTTCATGGATTTGACCTCAAAAATGCCAATAATAAAAAAAAAATGTTTTACTAGTGTAGGCCTGGTACTGTTCTAAACTCTTTGCATGTATTAATCGATATAATGCTTAACATTAACCCACTGTACCAGTTTCCTTAGTAACCCCTTCTCAACAAATGGAGGAAACTGAGTCACAGGTTAAGTAACTTGCTCAAGGACATGCAACAAGGAAGTAGTAGAGCTGTCACTGAAAGCCTGATAGAAGACTCCCAAGTTCTGAATCAATATACCATACCCCTCCCTCTCTAATAGAGTGATTGTATACATCAGTCCCCTTCTAAATGCAAAGATGGCTCCATTCAAGTACTACCCCACAGGCAGCCATTGCATTGTCTTGAAGTTAAGAGGTAAATTTACCTACACTCTTATTTTCAAGTAGATGAGCTTGGAAAGTTATTTCTTAGAATATTCAGTCCTATAGGCTAACAGATTTCCACAGGGTGGCTGTGGAGAGGTGGCATACCGTATGATCAGGATACACTCCATGTAGTCTTCCACCTGATTCTGAAAATGGATCCTAGTAACATAAATAATTCTAAATGACTTCTCACTTTTGAAATCAGTCATTCTAGAAATGTATGATCTTCCGGGCAGAGGTAGTTTTAACCAGATCATCTTCAGTAACTTCTACTGGGCCTTGCTCCGAGTCTATTTTTAGTACCAACCACTAACTTTATCATCATGAAAACCACTTGTGGCTTTTCAACACTTGATGGTTGGGACATCAGCAGGCCACAGGGAAGCAGGGGGCTGGATCCACTTTGGGTCTGTTTTCCTCTGATACTTCTCTAGATCTTTAGGAACAGAATTCTCGATGACAAGAAGCCTCAAGAAGCCAAATCAAAAAAAAAAAAAAAAAAATTTTTTTTCCCCAAACAAATTCTCTTACTTACAGAAAGGCATTGCATAAGGCCACTGATTAGATGAATTTATCTCCATTTGACCATGCATCCTGGAAACGCCACTGTCCAAACTAAGTATGTAAAATATAAAAATACAATAAAATCTTCAGGCCCGCCCTAGGTTTCTTCAGAATCCTTAAGAAGAAAATGAATGAAACTAACCTTTTGGTCATATGCACTAACAAGGCTGAAAAGAGTAGACTAAACAAACATAGCAAGATGTATTAACTTTTCTAGGCTCTAGGTCCCTTCAAATAAGAGAAACAAATATTTCTTTTGCATCCAGATGATAATTTCTTGCAACTGTGTATGTTATTTCTAGCCCAACTTCATGCCCACTTCTTTAAAATTATTTGACAAAAATTCAACATTGCTTATTTCCTTTTCCATTCTATCATAATTACCAGAGGAAATTTACGGTGGCATTTATGAATTAAGACCTTCCTGGTTTTTTTCAGGGCATCCTTAAATCCCACTGGAACTTGAAGCTTTAGCCCTATACCATGTACAGGATCAGCTCATGGCTTTTGTTGTTGCTGCTTCCCGCAAGAATACATGTGATGGCCTGGAAGATTTTCAAGGACACAAAACCTTTGATAAGGTGCAAAAAGGAAGCAATATATGTGGTCCAGAACCAAAATATATCTGCATATAATAATCTGGAGAAAAATAATAGGCATTTTAATATCATTCCAAAGGTAAAACACTCGGTATGGGTTAAAGATGAACAGTGCCAGGCAGAGCAGGACAAAATTTCCGAACTCAGAAAAACAATGTCTTGGGGATAAACTGCTTTTTGTAAAACAGAGCCTATATTAGAACATCAAATTTTAAAGAACAGATCTTTTATCTAAAACCGAAGTATCATACACTATTAATCTGAAGCAAATAACATAGCCATGACCTATGCTGAGAATAGAGAAATACTATACTTTAAAAGGCAATGTATTGAAAATCTTCTTCTCTGTGCTATTTCCTCCTCTAAAGGAAAACAGAGAGCTTAATCTTCACTGGAGTGCTCACTTTTCGTATACTCTCATATTAAGCTTAATAAGGACTAGAGGAAAATTTATCATTATAGCTATTCTCCCTCACAGTAATGTCTGAATTAGACAGATACTGAAACATTTTATCAAATATTTTTATCCAATCCCTATCCTTTCTTCCCAACCCGCAACAGTATTTCTACCCTCCTAATTACACAACTGAAGCGAAGATGAGCAATTTAACACTTAATTATAGTGGCAATACATACTTGACTATTTTCTATCCCTCACCCCCCACCTCCCCCCCAAAAGGATTTCTTAGCAGTCCTGGTAGTGGCTTTCACTGGTAGTGAAAATAACATACACCTTCCGATGGATGCCTTTTACTTTTGTGTTAATCTTCATTAATGGCCTTAATTTATAATTGGTTAAAATTGTAATTGGTTAAAAAAATTAAAACACTATCAAAAGGCACACAGTGGAAAGGGAATCTATGCCCTACTGCAAACTCCCAGTCCTAATTCCCAAAGAAAAGCATCATTAATAATTTCTTACACATCTTTTCAGATGTTTTTGTGACAAAATATAAATATATATATATCTATCTATTCATCCTTTCATTTTTAACAAGAAGATACCATACTGATTTTTTAAATGTTTTTAATTTATTTTTTTATTATTATTTTTTTACTTTATAAGTCTTTGAGATGCTCCCATATCAGTATGGACACATCTGGCCCCATCCTTTATAACATATAAACTACAATGAGGGTTATACTATACTTTTATTTAACCCATTCCCTATTAGTGGACATTTAAGTAATTTCTAATTTTATGCTGTTACAAACCATGCTGTAACCAGCATATACTTAAGAGTTTCTATGGGATATGTGGAATCACTGGGTCCAAGAGTTTATGTGCAATTGTAATTGCTATAAAGTGCCACATTGTCTTCCAAAGATGTTGCAACAATTGGCAATCTGGTAAAAATTATTCTGCCCACTTGCTATTGAACATAAATTTATCCTTCTCGATATTCAGTTATAAAACTAAGCTAATGCATATGAATGAATGGAAAGCTACTACCGAAGACAATCTCATGAGTTAAGCACAAACAGATTCAATTAAAAAGATATTGCTCTGTTCATTTATTTTTGCATGTGTTGTCTCGCCTCAATAAAATATTCATACCAAACTACTGAAATCAATGAATGATGGTTTTAGCCCTCTGCTGCAATGCTATTATTAAATCTACATCTAAAAGTTAAAGGGGAGCACAGAAGGACTAAAGTTGAATGTGAGATAACAATAACTGTTAAATTTAACAAAATGAAAGGTGACTAAAACCACTGTCAGCTCAAGGGCTTCTTGTCCTCTCCTATTACCAGATGGCAATTAGGTAAGGCCATGTAATTATCAGGCACATTCGAAATACACTAATCAGGCTCTATTTTTCAAAATCTGCGGTGGCCATCAATTACCTAAGGGACAAATTCTAGTTCTGTAATATGGCACACAAAACCTTTTAAAAATCTGGTTCCAAGTTAGTTTTGAAGCTCCATTCCTGCCACTCTTTTCCACGTAGACACATCTTGGGCCACAACTCTTCACTGGACCTTGAAAATACCATCTTCTTCAGTGCCTCTCTGCTCCTGGCCAACCTGTTGATTTCTGCCAAGATGCAATTCCCCCTCGTCATGACTGGATCTCCTACTCATTCCTCAAGCCCCGGATTACATAAGACCTCAATCTAGAGGCTTATCCAAACTCGCCTGGGCATCTGGGTGCCACGACACCTCATACCTCCATGTATTGTGAATCTATCACAGCGTACAGTAACCATGACTTTCTCCTTCATTAGCTGGTGGGCTCCCAGAAGGGAGAGACTACAGTTTGTTCACTGTTGTATTCTCCCCTCTCCATGGCTTAGCACAGTACAATAATTGATAATTACTATATATTTGTTAAATGACTGTTAAATGAAAAACAGGAGTTAATTTAAGGCATGTGGGTGCTCTTTTTTCTTGAGTAGACAACTGCAATACCAACTTTGTTTAAAGATATACCACGAGAAATGATGTAGATTTTCAAAAATTGTTCATTCATTCACTCAGCCAATATTCTTTGAGTGTTTGCTATGTGCCAGGTACTCTTCTAGCAACTGGAGATATATAAGTAAACACAACCAGATCCCACAGCTATTGAGCTTAGAATCTAATGATAAATTATCTAATAAGCAGGTAAACATACCAACAAATGAATAAGATAATTTCAGGTAACTAGTAGTGTATGAAAATAAAACAGGGGAATGGGTTAGAGAGCAAACTGAGGCATGGAGGTGCTAGAAAACTCTACATAAGGGGTTAAAGCAGATCTTCCTGAAGAGTTGACATGTGAAGTGAAAAGTGCTAAGAAGGAGCCAGCAATATAAAAATCTAGGGAAGGGGCGCCTGAGTGGCTCAGGTCATAATCCTGGGATCGAGCCTCACTTCGGGCTCCCTGCTCAGCGGAGAACCTGCTTCTCCCTCTCCCACTCCCCCTGCTTGTGTTCCCTCTCTCTCTGTCTCTCTGTCAAATAAATAAAATCTTTTTAAAAAAAAATCCAGGGAAATAACACTGCAGGTAGAAAAGCAGCTTGGCACGTTCAAGGAAGAGAAGGAAGACCGGTAAAAATGGAATGTGGTGAATACAGGTACTTTACGGGGCCGGCCAGGACAGGGATTAGAAAGGGAATTGGCACATGATGATGGTATATTTGGTGATCAGATGAGACAGGAAGGCGAGGAACAGATCAGGGAAGATGTGGGAGGTCATATAAAAAGTTCAGGAATTAATTGCAAAGGACATCCACTGGAGGAGGATTTAGAGCAGCAAGGCGAGAGATTTGATTTTATATTTTTGAAGAAAATCATTTGACAAATAAAAATGAAACAACTCTTATATGGTTACATTTTAAAATGTCACAAGTAATCATTTGACACACATATAGAAATTCTCTAGAGTGGTCTCAAGGTTTTGATGAGCCCATCAAAAGTGAAGCCCTTTGACTATTTCATGAAAACCCCTTCCCAGAAAAATTCTTTAATACCCTAATTTTGCATAAAATGTCTGGATATTCACAAACTCCTCAAAGCCTATGGATCCTAGGTTTGAAAGCCTTAAATCAGTATGTAATAATTAATTTTTCTTTCTCAGGGTAAGAAGAACAATGTGCAGCTAACATCTATTTCACCTCTTGTAATACCTAAGAGATTATTTCTCAATATAAAGAACACTGATACTAACCAGTTTCGAGAAAACAAATCCCCAAAGATCTTCCTCAGTAACATCCTCTACCTAAAACCTTACTGTTCTTCTTGCTTGGGAACAAAAACTTCCAAACCAAGAGTGAAAAAACATCAAAGTGAATGTCAGACTAATCAGTCTAGCCCCTGCATCTTCAAACTCCTACTCTTCCTTAAATGAGATTCCCGAAGCTATGTAGAAAGAAATTTCAGTCTAGCTGACCAAATAGCTGATTGTTACTTTCCATTTATAAGGACTGCTGATATTAATTATTTTTATGACCCGACATTTTTTTCATTTGTCAACTCCAATTTTCCTCAATGTATAATTAGATATTTTTCAAATGCAGCTTATGCCTAGGCAAAAGGAAGTGTGCAATTCAAAGCCACACGGAATAACAGAAAGAAACAAAAATACTGAAGGAATAAAGGTGTTGAGAAGGAAGTTTTAGGTAAACTATGATATTGCGTGTGTGGGTGTGTGCGTAGAAAAGCAAGTTAATAAACTTGAGAGAGCTGTTCATGGATACTCTACTCTAAAAACCCTACATAGTATCAAAGCAATTTGCATTGGACAACTGTTACACCGCCTTAAAATCAAAGATTATTGAACTGAATAACTCAAAAACTGTATCAGAGACTTACACAGCAATTATACAAGAAAAATCCACTTGGGTTCTCTTTTCCCCGATGTAACAAGTGTTGACCATTACTAGCTGCCACCAGTCAATAGTATCGCTGGGCTCCTACCCGTGACGTGGCCATCAGAACAGGGTCGCTACAGGTGTGCTGGTTCTGCCCGAAACATCTTTCTACAAAGTCTTGGTAAGTATACCTATAATGATTCTTCAGTGTTCCTAGGTCAGATGGAAAGACAGACAGACAGACAGATGATAGATAGATAGATAGATAGATAGATAGATAGATAGATAGATGATAGATAGATAGATAGATAGATAGATGATAGATAGATAGATAATAGATAGATAGATAGATAGATAGATAGATAGATAGATAGATAGATAGATAGATGATAGATAGATAGATAGATAGATGATAGATAGATAATAGATAGATAGATAGATGATAGATAGATAGATAATAGATAGATAGATAGATAGATAGATAGATAGATAGATAGATAGATAGATAGATGATAGATAGATAGATAATAGATAGATAGATGATAGATAGATAGATAGATAGATAGATAGATAGATAGATAGATAGATAGATGATAGATAGATAATAGATAGATAGATGATAGATAGATAATAGATAGATAGATAGATAGATAGATAGATAGATAGATAGATAGATAGATAGATAGATAGATAGATATTCATTCCCTATGAATGTGTGTAGAAGAGACCAAGTCATTTTCTTACAGCACCTTTCTTGGAAGTATTACCAATCACTGCTGACACGGCCATCAGCCCCCCTTTCCCGGTCACTTACTGCAAGTACCACTTCAGGTTTGGGTGCAAGTGCTTCATACAGTCTTCCACTTACACTATCAGCAATACAGCACCTTGCAGAATTCATCTTGCTGATATTAAGCCTACAGTATGAGCTGAGACCCAACTGTCCTTTGGAGATCTGACCCTTAAAACTCAAGAGAAAAGTGATACATCCTAAAGGATTTCTGGGGAGTATCAAACTGTCCTAAATCTAAATTCAAATCCAAGCTGTCCAAATTCCAACCCTATAACAGTTGTACTAATTTTCATGGCCCAAACTGGAAAATGTTTTACTCTAAAACGACCTACTCTAATTTCCTTCCTTCTTTTCTTTTTTCTTCTTTCTTTTTTCTTTTTCTTTCTTTCGTTTTCTTTCTTTCTTTCTCTTTCTTTCTTCCTTTCTTCCTTCTTTCCTTTCTTTCCATCCCTTCTTCCCTTCCTTCTTTCATCTAAGAATATTTATCCTAATTATTAATTATGCTCTAACTCAAAAGTGATCTATAATTTTGTTCTGTGCTAGCATATAAACTAGCTAGCATATATTTTTAAGGCGATTTTCATATGCATCAAGAATTTGGGGTTGTCCATGATTCAAATACACAGACACATCCTAAAAATCCCCTCACCAGCAAGATTAGACTTCAGCAGATTATAGCACTATCAGGCACTTACCATGGACCTATATAAAATATAAAGTTCTCCCAATGTGACAGCCAAGGTTTCCCAAACTCTGACATGTCTAAACTGTGTCCTAGAATATTTTTTCACCTAAGCTTCTCATAATCTAGAATACCAAAACACTTGGAACTGATAACTCTAGCTTAATTTACATTGTAATTTTCCCCTCAGGAAACCTATATTCCTCCATAAACATTATTTTTAAAATATTAACCTTGGCCATTTACGCGTTATGATTATTTTTATAACAGTTTACCTTATAAGATTATAATATTAAATAGGCACAAGTCATTCTATATTGCAAACTAGCATATAAAATATGACACTTATTAAATAAGCATATGCTCTTGCCCTTGATGACATAAATAATGTAAGAACATTAAATTAAACAAAACAGGAAGGTAGTCACACATTTCTGTTTGTAGACTGAATCTTCATGCCTTTAAGTGACTATCAAATGTTAGGGCCTGGACCTAAAAAAGAAAGAATGAAATATTAATAACGTCCCACCTGGTGGGAGCTCGGCATTACTTGACAGTACACAGAAACCGACCTTTTTGTCCTTCAGGCTTGCCTACCGGGCCCCATCTTCTATCGCAAAAGCCAAATCATCTGATCCCAAACTAACTGTCAACTGCCTGTGATGGTGGGGAAGCCAGACATCAATCAATCAGGTTTTATCAGACGTGCTCTTCGTTTCTCTGTTGTGCTCATCTTATTATCTGACCCAGTTGTAGCCCTGACTTCAGAAGCTTAAGCAACTTGATGACAAAATATGCGCCTGTTTGTCCAAGATGCACACTGTTAAGAAGTGGGGTGATATTTTTAGCAGCTACCTAATATATTTGCAAATGAACTCTTGCATATTTCAGATTTACACACGACCCATCTTGGTCCGTTTCCACTGGACACTGAGTCTGTTCCTGGCTGTGGGAAGCCCAATATTTCCAAAATATGCAAGAGTCCTTAAGTACAAGTCAAATGTCATTGGAAAATGTGGTCATTTTTATGACAAGGAGGCAGAAGGGCTATCAAAAGGAGGATTTCAGGATGTCACTTCAAGAAGAGAAAGAAGATCTAACTGATAAATGTGCACAGTATAAATTCAGACACTTTTATCCCAAATAAAAATAACTCGGAAAATTAAAAGCCTTTTTATCTATTTGTATTGACCGGAGTCTCAAAGGAAAAAAAAAATGTTTAAATCTTCAGTGCTGTTGCCAAATCCATGTGAGCTGGCCCCCACTGCTCTAAGGACATGCTACAGAATATATTCCTATACGTAAAGTAGTTAGGGAAGGAAACAATCGTGACATAAGTTACAAATTTGAAATTTTTAAAATTCTAAGTTCTGTTACACAATTTTTGCACAAATCTGAGAACAGCAAATTATACAGATATTTTGCAGATATAAATAATCTATGCTAGCGTAAGCAACTGTCTATTTGCTTCACTCTGTCTTCTTTATTCTTCAAGGAGCAATAACATTTTCGCATTTTCCCTAAAATCAAAACAACTTCGATAATAAATGTAAGATTTTCATTAACAGGCAATGTGATCGATATGCCATTCATTTCTCAAAAACTTCACTTAACTATATTTTAAAAGGCTTTTAAAAGCAGCATAAAATTTATCCACAGACTTTATCCACATAAATACATACCCTGACATTGGCTATAAAAACCACAAAGTATTACAGTGATATATTTTGACATGGATGAGAATACACACCATGAAAATAATTTGTACATAATGAGAAACACATCATTCCCAAAGATTCCCACTGAATTCACAGAGGTTTATAAAAAAAAAAAACAAATGCCTTTGAACTTCGCAGCACACACAGTAAGCAAGAAGGCTTACCAGTATATGGCATTTTACGTTTTGGAGGTACTAGATATGGGAATTAAACAAGCTTCTGCTTGTGATATGAAAAAAAAATTTCCTTTTACATAGCTACTGTAGGACATAAAACAATACATTAAAAAAATTTCTTGAATACCAAATATACTAAAGTTAATCTGTGGCACAAATTTTTATCACTGAATTACGAATAATCCGATCTTGTAATTGAATTGTCTGAAAACCTTTAAAATTACTCTTCCAAAATGAGATAATCTACATGTAGTAAAAGCAAGAGGGAAATGGACAACATTGAGTGTATTTATTATTTACTATTATTTATTATTTTCATTATTTTAAAAACTACTTAATAGTATATTATATTTAGCTACTTTTTGCATAAACTTAGAGGAATCTGGCCCTCAGTTGGACTGGAAGACTTGTCAATTCACTATTTTTAATCTTCTAATCCCCAGTTTATTACAGGCTCACAACAACTTCAGAATATACCAGAGTAAAGCAAATTCAAGTCTTTCTTAAAGGGTACACCACCATCTTTATATTGCAAAGGAACGTATAACAAGAAAATTAAAAGTTCTAGGTTAATAGTCAATGAAGGACAAATATTTGCTTATAACCCTAAATTTTGTAACTAATTCTTCAATTGGTTAAACAGTTTGCAAATCTTGTACTCAGTAAGAGAATTTTAGAGATTATGGCTGAAAAATCTATGTCAAGTAACTCACACTTATAAGAAATTTTTCATAGGCAATATTATATAGCTGTCAACTGGTGGAAAATTCTTTTATTGTCTCAGTAAGAGATGCTTGCCAAAGTTTTCTAGATGTAAATTAGAATAACTTACATCTTCAAAAGAATTTCTCTTAAGAAGGAAATCAACTGAAAAATAACATTAAATATATCTTCAATTAAATGCTCATTGAAAGATAATTTTTAGATGTATTTTAAAATTTAAGCAAAAATTTAAAAATTTTTTAATAGACTACACAAAAGCTAGGTGTTCTAACTTCCAGGTATGCTACTAAAATTACATATATTTGTGATAGCCTATATATAAACTATTACATCACACATATCTTTGTGATAGTGGTCTCTAATAAATCTGGCATTACCATAAACCAAATAATATACAAGAAATCATCGGACTAACACCATTCAGCAACTTCTAGCAATTCAAAGGGGAGTACTTTCACAAATAAATAAAACGAAGCAGTCAATGGCAGATGCCCAGATGAAATGTTCTATTTAATATTAAATATTATACTAGTGCTTCTAATGAACCTACTCCTTGGTCTACATCTGTGGGAGTATTACCACAAATATTAACTGATAATTGCCACTGCCTTGCAGACTATACAAAGAGTTGAATTCTGGCTGTTCTATGCACAATGCCTGGAATGAATAAGCAATTATATGGCACCAGGCACTTGACATTCATTTTTAAAGCCTCCAAAATCATGAGAGATATATACGGTTTCCCCATACACAAACGTATTTGTTTATTCAGTGCCTAAAAGTTTATTTAGTGCCTACTCTAGAGTATTTCAGGCACTATTTCTAAATCTAGTTTTGTTCTTTAATCATAATTTTTAAGAAAAATGAGATGAATTTCCAAGGACGTGATTTAGGGGCAAAATGCTCATTTTCAGTGGTCACTGTATCTTAATAATATCAACAAAATAGCATGTATTTTGTTTCCTCACTTTAGCAACTTAACGATCTTTTATTGGTTTCAGACAGGGGACTGGTTATCTCACAAGACAAAACTGGTCCTCAAAAGCACTTTTTTAAAGTAGTGGATATGACGGTAATGGACCAGGAAAGAAGGGATGGAAGAGAAAAAAATAACGGGCTCTTCTTTTCACATCTGAAATCCTGACCCAAACCAGTCGACCTAGTAATTATCATATATTCATTTTTTAGAAGTATTTGTCAAAGCACAAATTACGAAGCCTTTAAATAATCCTGACTAGACAATTCTTCTCTACCTTTTTGTCATCTCAAACAGATAGTCTGAGAGTAATGGTATGACACCCTATCCGACAAGCCTCTCGGCATTAATATTTAAATCTTACCCATCCCTTGTGATTGGAATTCAGCCTCTATTCGCAAACAAAAACTAAATCAATGTTCTTAGAGTTCAAACTAGATCCCTAAACAGTTTGCCACTCTCTATGCACAGATAAGATAAACTTTCTTTGACCCAAGAGATGAAGTTGCCATGACGATCAGAGAGTCCACTTTCTATATTGATATTTTGCTGATGTAACAACAAATAGAACCAGATCCTAGGGCCGATAATGGTGATTAATTAATACTAATATTGATCCCTACAAGCAAGAGACAAGGCTATTAACTTGAAGCCTGAAAAGTCAATTGTTACCTGTGGCAGAGATACTAGGAGCTGATTTGGAAGCATAATAAACAAATGTGCTATCTTTATGCTAATACCTTTAAAGAGATAGTTCTTTCTGGAATGCCAAATATTGCCACGTCTGAGCTTATTAATTTAATTGCATTTCAGCTTTTAAAAACACAACCTTATTGAATGATAACACATACTTACCCTTTTGTCTATGGTAGAAACACATTCTCTGGTGACTGAAGTAACGGACTTTTGCTGGTATTCGTTTGGTGAGGGAATGAACTGATAATTTTACCCAGTGGCAGCTGTGGAATTAGACAGGGTTTCAAAAATACCTACAGTGTTCTGAAGTGTCCTGCTGGCCCTGTGGAACTAGGAAAGTAAGAAAAGCCCAAGGGATCATGACTTGGAGGATAAGGGTTCCAAAGTTACCATATACACTCCCACGTTTTATTGGAAAAAAGACTGCATTAAAAAAGCATTCCTGAAAAGTGTATTTTATTCCCAGATAAACCTAATTTTAGATACTTCACACAATTTAGCCAAAAGCCAAAAAACTTCCTCTAGATGGTATCACTTTACTTAAAACTTGAATATACATTGCATTATTTTGAAGGAGAGTTCATTTGGGAAGGTGTTTTCTTGAAATGTAAAAATAAAGAATGGAGAAATGAGTAAAATCAGTTTATTTATTTAATATGCCTTTTCCGCAAAAGTTACATATTGAAAAGTGGGGAAGTGATTAAAATGCAAATGACAGGTCCACTCTTGATTTGCCTTAGCTATGTGGGAAGGCAAAAATATCCATACTAGAAATCCATACATCTAGTCCCAAATATGCCATTTTATCAAACATACTACCTTAATCTTATTCTCTCAAAACTTTTCCAGTGATAATAACTAATAGCAAAATGGGCTAATTAGTGTGTCATTTCTTTGTTTTTGTCATGTGATGGAAGAGCTCATTAGTCCTAAAATAATCCTCAAACAGCAGAAATAACACAGATGAGAAGCTTTGAATAGCTCATGACCAGAAGTGAGTTACCTTAACTGTAGCACAAAGTTAACTTAATTTACGCTACTGTATATAGGCAAAACGTAAATACAGATATAGGCTAGACAATTGCTATAATTGAAGAATATCTTCATTTATGCCCACAGTGAACCCAAAACAAACAATGTATAAATCTTTGCCTTAACCCTTAAATACAGAATAAAATTTTAAATTAGCATAATGTAGAAATCAGAGGCAAATCATCTAATTGCATTGTTTTCTTTCACAATTTAATAGCACCAACTTAAATAATTATTGACAAAAGTCACATCATATTTTCTATGTCTGTATTTAATTACAATTACTGGTAACCTTGTGATGTCTACAATGAACACTGTTCTCTTATGTGAAATTCAAAGCGATGCTACACTCCTTGTAACTGAACCGATACAATTATATTACTATTAAGGTCTCTAATTATAATTAACAGAAAAATTCAAAGTTGTTTGTTTAAAAAATATTGTGATACATATTAAACCTCTTAGTTTTACTTACCCCATAATTTTACAAAAAAAGCCACTTTAGAAAGTTACCAGAAGTGGAAAATACAAGAGCTACTCTTTTAATTCCAAGTCATATCACCAAGTTTTAAAAACTCTTTCACAGCAACTATGCATAAAAATGCTACTGCATTTATGCTTGCATTGTTGACTCCACTGAACTTAAAAAAAAAAGTGACTTCATGATTAATGATCTTTTAGAGGTAAACTTTCTTATATTTTCTTTAACACCTAAAAAACCAGGATTAGTATATTAGCCATTTAAAATTTGCCTATTTAAAAAATTCTACTAAATGCACTTACATTTATTAAGAAAAATTCTATGCAGTGATATATTTCGAATTTGTAAATAAAGAAATTAATTTTGTTACCTTTCAAATAAGGGTACCAATCTATGTTATCAATAAAACAAGTATTACACAGTATACACTTTTCTTTTCTTTATGGCCTGTGTAAAAGTAGGTTTTCCGAAATGTTACTCAGCCAAAGATGCAGAAAATAAAATCTCTAACATGAGACATATCACAAACCAAAGGGAAAGGCTTATTTTTTAATGTCATCTTTAATTATCCTTAAAATTCACAAGAAATGAGTGATTTGTTTCAAAGCAAAACCCTGTCTTAATATTTGGCAGATGAAAAGCAAGACATCCTGAGTATGGGTGATCAATGTATTTCAAACGTACGTAGCAATCCCAGACGCCTTTTTAAAAATAATATGAAGAAGAATACAGTAGATAATTAACCCAAAAATTACGTATTGAACACTAACACAGGTAACACTAAAATAAAAAAGTCTCTACTAAAACAATGAAAAATAACCACAGCCACTTCTTCTCATAACGTAATTTTAAGGTTGTAAAGATGATCCAGTTACAGATTTTCACATTGGCATATATCAAATAACAAATTTAATATGCAACACTCTCATTTTAAGACAATAATCATTTTATAAATAAAACACGTAATACTACCTACTCTAAAAAAATAGCATAAAATATTAAAATGCCAGTGTGCAAGGTAGGGACCCGTACGGCCGGAAATTATTAGATCATCTCAAATAACAGAAAGGTAATTTATTCAATATGAACGGATTCCAACTTCTGCAAAAGCCCCTCTGTGGAACTGCTAACACGATTATTCTTCGCATGGACCATTTTACTTTCAAAGTATGTATTAATTCCCAATATTACTTCACTTTTCAAAAAAAAAAATTCTGCCTCTTAATTCAGCCTTTCTTTTTCCTTCACCACAAATTATTTGGCACATGATCTACACAGCAGTTACGTCCTACATGTTTGAAAACATCAAGCAATGTAAAAGTTACTTTTGAAGGAAACTGTACTTCAGTGGTATAAAGAAGAGTGCCTTTTCTTCATCTTGTATGAAAATAAAACATTTGAGTTCTTCCCTCCCTTTTCAACCTCCACATTCACTACTAGGTAGCATTTGCACCCCCCCCAAAAAAAATCTTTTCCTGAACCCACAGCCAATACACTTAAGTGTGACTGAAGTTGGGGACACACAGGGCAGAAAACACATTACTAGAGACAACAGCTCGAGGAAGAAAATAACAGTAAAACTGCACACACAACACGTTTACTAATCATAAAGAGATGCATTGGTAAAAGAAAAAAAAATCATCATTTCTGTCATAAATTTTGCAGTGCAGCCCCAGAATGGAGAACAATCTGGGCAATTTATTGGCATATTGGCAGGAGGTGATAAGGCTAAAAACAACAACAGCAAGCAGCTGTGTGAGGAGATGGGCTGATAGCATGATATGGCTCCCACACCAAACACCTCCCATCCTATCAGGGCTTTTTATCAAACCAGGATTACAATAATAGCTCAGGAGAGAAAGCTTCTGAGGGGAGGGCAGAAAATATAGTCTTGAAATAGGGAAAAAAATCTGAATTTTGGGACAAAACATGGGGGCAAAATACATAATTTATCACTGTATTATCAGGAAATCCAGGCAGTCTAATCAAGGAGCACTGAGTGACTATTTTTTGCCTTATCATCCAAAGTGGTGGAAACGGAGAAGGAATTATCAGGCTTCTGCAGATTGCTGGGCTGGAATTTTAATGGTAATAATCGGGTTTCTGATGGTATATCTTCTCCGCTTATCTTTCCCATTATCTCCTCTTATCTGGCCAGTCATCATAGCAAATTAATGGTGCTCTTTCAGCGTCGCCTTTTTATCGCTGCCCGGAGAGCACCCAAGGGGAAAGAATAAGCAAAATATTAAAATACTGCATAAATCACAATTTTAGATAGCAGAGAACTGTACGCAGTAAAAGAAAAGAAAAAAAAAAAAAACTGTGCCCAACAACCTTTTTGTCCTTTAAATTGACTGTCTTCAGAGTTTCTGGTATTCTGGTATAAGCTGACTTTTGCTTGTCATAGTTGCTCTAAATTGGGTAAGCTTTATCAGCAGTGCCAAAGCTTTATTTTCAAATTCTGGACGCTTCCAAGTTTAATATACAGTTTCATTAGTTGCATGGAATGCTATTGTTTCTAAAAGCATTTCTTTCTGATTTTTTTCCAAACTTATATTTGACCCACAATATCAAAAGCAGCACTGTCATTTGTAATAATAATAATAATAATGCTACACTTGTTATATACTACTAAAATTGGAGGGAAAGACCTACCATACTAATGACTTCGAGTATCAAGACAAACTTCATCTGCAAAACTGCCTCTTGTACCTGGACAGGCAAAAGGCGACAAATGTCGATAGGCTGCAACCAAAATGACTTTACAGCTGGTCAAACCATATTTAAATATTCCACTCCTCCCCCCCCCCAAAAAAATTCCAGCTATTAGACAGCACTGCTCTAATATAACAATTCAAAGACGTTTAATTTTTCATTCTCCTTAACAGTCCAAGGGGAGAAGCGTGTCCACATTTGCATAGATTATCACTGTGACCCCAAATTGAATCCAGTAAAAGTCTAAAATGCATGTATATTAATAATACATGTTTGCATATATCAGTAGGCAATGATCACTGTGAACAAATATATAAATATAATATCTGTTCACTTTCAAATGAGAGAACTTTCAAGTATTTTTGATAGTTAATAAATCACAGCATTCAAATAAGCCACTAAAATGTTTTATGACCTATAACACAAGTGTAGCATCAGCAATTAGTTCCAACGCTTTAATCTTCAGTTATATGAGGTGGACATAGAAGGATAGAAAAAAAAAAAATTTAATGTAGCTAATTGAGAAGATAACAAAGTATTCCCAAGTAGAATCAGATGGTCTTTGTGCCATACAATCAATTAATATTAATTATTTATTAACAATCTAGACGACAGCCATGAACTAAAAAGCATTTACATTTAATGTTTATAATCGTATCTTATAATATGCACAGTTTTGTACTATATAAAATGCAACCTTTATATAGAGGGGCCCGATAAATAGTACTAAAAAGTAAAAGGCAATTAGTTAAAACCATGGATAATCACTCTGAAAAAGTGAAAGTCTTCAACAACGGTATCTCTGCTTGATTAAAACTGCTTTGAGCTATAAGTTCAGTCCCTGCTTTAACCCAAGTTGCATAAAAGAGGAACTGAAGTAAAGAAGAAAGCCACTGAATAAAAGCCACAGAGTCATGCCTGAAAGGCAAGGTTTGTACATGTATATAACGATCGAAATACTTAACTGTAGCCAACTGCTTGCAGCCTGGACCCCATTTCACGCTGGATAAGCTGATTGATAAGATTTGTTTTTAAACTACACCAAACAGAATTTTCAACATTTGGGGGTGGGGTGAGCGTGGTTAATAATTAAGGGGGAGGGGATACTATTAAAGCCTTACCCTAAAATTACACTATGATCAGTTTGAAACTAGTTGCCAGACTTTAAGCAACACGAAGAAATGGACACACCACAAGCCTAGCAAAAAATAAAAAAATAAACTAACAAGGCTGCGTCTCCTTTTCGGCCAAAGCGTTGAAGACGCGTCGCAGGGCGACAAAACACCATTGGAGGAATTCTCCGCAAGACAAGAAAAGTTGACCGAGCTGAGCTCTGCCGGTGTGTGTGTTTCGGGCAGGTACCTCGACCCCGCGGCGTCCCCCAAGCGCCACCCGGGCCTCGCGCGCGGGGGGCTCCGGGTCACGCCCTCTGCGGCGCACGGGCTGCCTCGAACTCACGGCTTCCGCGGTGGGAAGTGACGGGCGGCCCCTCCCAGCGAGGACTCCGCGCGCCTCCGGGGCGGGAGGTAAACCGAATCCCGGCTCGGCTGAGCGTCCCGGCGCCCCCGGCCCAGCCCTGCCCGCCGCCAGCCCCGCGCCCTCGGGGCGGAGGCGGACGGCCGCCCGCGGCAGAAGCGCAAACTTTTACACCTACTTTTTGTTTCGCTTCGGGTTTGGCGTGGCTCTGGCACCGCCCTGGCCCGGGACCCAGACTCTGATTTTCCACCGCCTAGGGACGGTGCCTCCCTCGCCCCGAGGGCCAACCGGCTTTTCGGAGAACGAAGTTCTCACCCTGCTTGCTGAAAGTGTAGTCCCCAAGAGTAGCACTACGTCAGTCGCAACAACAGTGACAACAACCACGATCAGGAGAATCTCCCAAATGAGTGGGGCTGCCCAGGCAGGCTGAACGGTACAGCAAGCGGGACTAACTGGGCGCGGGGTCGGAATTAAAAAGAAACCCGGAGCGCGAAGACTCGGGCGAGCAAGAGCAGGCTGTTCGTCGCAGCGTCTTTCTTGCCCGGCGCTCGGGCCGTCCGTCTGTCTGTGACTGACTAGTTGTCCCTCCGCTGCTCAGGCAAAGTTTGGCAAATCCGGGGCACGGGGAGCGGATTTCCCGAGCCTCCCTCCCTTTCCCGCCCCGCGCGCCCCCCTCCCCAGAAATAATCCCGGCAACTGCCGGCCCAGCGTGCAAACTTACGTTTGATCTGCCGGGGTTTGCTCTGCTTTCGCCGGGACATCTCGGCGGCGGCCGCTGCCACTGGGGCTCCCGCGGTGCCCGCGGTCGGGGCTGCCGCTCCCTCGGCTCCCGGCGCTCCCGCCGCCGCAGCTGGCCAGGCTCGGGCCGCCGCGGGCCGGACTCCAGGTGCTCCGGGCGCGCGGGATCCGGGCGCTGGGCTCCTCCGGGAGCCGCGGAGCCACGTTTGGAGATGAGCAAGCAAATGAGAAGACAGAGGGGGGCAGAGAGAGTGTGACAGTGGGGAGGGGAGGACGAGAGGAGGAGAGCGATGGAGGGGGGAGAACAGAATTTACAAACGAACGGACGAGGAGAGGGGAAAGGGGGAACACGAAAAGAAGGAAGAGAAGGAGGGAGGGAAGGGGGAGCGAGCAGAGGGGAGAGGGGGAGAGAGGGGGCGGAAGGCGCGGGAGGAGGAGCGCGCTCGCTCTCCCCTCTCCCCGGCGTGCGGGGCAGAGACTCGAGCGCCGCCGCCGCCGCCGCCGCCGCCGCCGCTCCGGGCCGCGCAGCTCGCTCTCTGCCGCGGGAGGTGGCGAGGCGCGGGAGGGAGGGGCGCGCCGGGGCTGCGGGGAGGGGAGACTATTCCATCAGCGAAAGGAGGATTGGTTGCATCCAAAGCCAGTCCGGATGCAAAAGAGGGCCCCGGCCTCGGTCGGGTGGGGTGCACGGGAGCGCGGTGGGGGGTTGGGGGAACAGAGGCGTGGGGAGGCTTTGGAGGGGGGCCACCTTCTGCAGTTGTCACGGCGTCATCTCTGGGCATCTGCCAGAGCACCCCTCCAGGCAACTTCTTCCCACAGCCCCCTCTGATGGACCCCAACTCTCCCCACGCCTCGCCCGTCCAGCCGGGCACAAAGAAATCCCAGTCTCCTCGTAAACTTTGTGCTTCCACTTATGCCGCCCCCTCCCCTCGCCTCCACGCCCGCCCTTCCAGCTTCTTGGCAGGAAGGTTAGGCCCCTGGCAAAATCCTCGGCGAGAGGCAGCTGATCACAAATGCCAACTGTGTGTCTTGGGGCCAGTTAAGCCCTCTCATCTGCCCGGGCTCTCTGGAGACCATTTCATTGCTCTCAAGGCTCCCAGGAGACCGCTGCGGACGTGGACCATCCCCCACTTAGCCCGCAAGGATGGGATGCTGAGCGGCGTCCTCAAAGTGCTCTTTCTCACCTCGACTTTTCATTGTAGATTGTAAAAATTACGAATTTGGAAACAGGCAGATATTTTTCCTCATATCAAAAGGTAGGACCATTAGCTAGGTGATTAGCCCTAGGTGGGAAATGAACCGTCTCTAATCAGAACACTAACTTTTTGAGGAAGTCTGTGGAAGTTCTGAAGTCCCACCCCATCCCAGGACCTTTATTTAATTCTCTTTAGTTCTTCTGCCACAGGGAAGCAGCCAGCGACTAATAAAAGATTTGATCTTGCCATAATTTCCCAAGCAGGTAAGACCCAATAACTATTTCATGGTTCTTTAGCTTTTAAAGTTTTGTTTCATTCTTATTCATTTATTGTGTGTGTAGTATGTCGGAAACTGCAAGCCAAAAGAAGAACAAATTTTGAAGTGATTTGCACAGTTATTATTTGGCCAAGTTAAGCTGCATGAGGCTAGTTTAGTTTCTCATAGTTTCGTATATACTGAGTATTAAATATATACTCCCGGGTGGGCTGGAAGAAGCTTCTATCCAAGTGGCAGGGGAACCGGCTGCTTTATGTAATCAGTATTTACTAATAAACTCCACTGCAGTTGACATGTATCCCCCAGATACTGCTGACTCTTCCCCCCCCCCCCCGTTGTGAGATCATCCATTCCGATCTAAAATTGTGCCCCCCTTTGTTTGGTTGACTAGCCATTCCTATGAGCCCCACCAAACTTGATACTCTGAAAGGGTCTGGGGGTCAGCAGAGAGCCTGGGCTGATTGAGCATAATGCAGGCTGCTCAGTGTGCAGGAAGCACTGTAATCAGTGTCATTTATAACCCCATCAGGACATCTTCTGGAAGGTGTAAAGAGTTGCCCTGTGAAAGGTATGGCTGAGAGAATCTTAATACAAAGCTGAAGACCAATTGTGAATTTTATTACATTACCATTAGTACTATTACCATATGAGGTTGTAAGAATACATGGTCCTTTGCAGTGGAAAACGCACTAAATGACAAAGTCCCTCCCCTGAAGAAGCAACAAATTAATGCCGTAAGTACCAAGCAGGGTTATGTGTGTTTGTCTTGTGGGATGAATAAGCAGACCGAGAACTACAGATTTTTGCTTCCTTAATTTTCAATTCATTACAATTAAATTGGTGTGCTCAGAATTGGATGTATTATACATTATGGTTTTTAAAGATCTTTTTACAGAACTGGCTGACTTTTTATATCAGCCAAAAGGAATGCCCATTGGAATTAAAATATCATAACAGTTAGTGTTTCTTTTGGCATTTGAAATGGTTAAATATGCAAAGCAAAAGAGAAACAAATAAATCTCAGCTAAATATTCAGTTTAAAAGCCGAAAGGAGCAAAAGTCAGGGAATTCAAGGCAAGAATGATAAAATAACCAGACTGCATTATTAGAAATTGATATAGTTTATATAAATTTATAAATATATATTAATTATAGTCATTCTGAATGAATTAAACTAAGGAATACTATTACAATTTGTTTTTCTCGTCATTTTTAATGAGAATGTTGATGATATTTAAAGTTCAATTTTTCTTTTCCTAGTTTAACTAATCAAGGTTATGAAATTAAAAGACAGCAAAACCTATAAGCAATTATCTCTGTCCAAATGGATATAGCAGCCCCAAACCACAGCTACATGACTATCAAACAATGATTATGAAAACCACAATTGAGAAAAGCATCAGGGAATGATATTGCAAAACCACAGCAACAAATGTGTCTGTGATATTGAAAACCACAATTCACAACTACTACCCTGTGTATCGCAAATTACTATTTAACTATAAATGTGAAAATGTATAAGTAACAGCACAAAACAATTTCTCATTTACTTAAAAATGAGTTATTCATTTTTTGGACTCACTGATTTCATCTCTACATAATGGTTCATTTTGAAAAGTTTCTGCTTTCAAAGACAAATCATTTAAGAATCACATATGTAAGTTACTTTAAACGCAGAAAATATGCAACTTTTAATAACATTTCCTTAAGTACTAAAAGAATTGATCTGAAACCAATCTGAAATAAAGAAACATTTACTTCAGTCTGGCTTTCTTCATAAAGTTCTTCAGGAGTGAAAAGGGATGTGAGTGGACACTGCTTACGGAAAAAAAAAGCTTGAAGTATTCTATTACAACTTCAGTGAAAATATAATTGTATATACTCTTAATCGTCCATTTAGCCGAAAACATATATCTGACAATAAAATGAGATGCCACTACCAAAACTACTTTAATGTAGAAAGTCAAAGGTTTATTTACAAGTAAATAAAAGCAATATTGTTTGCAGGTTTATAGGGTTGCCAGATTTCAAAAATTAAAATAGGATGCTCTATTAAATTTGTATTTCAAATAAGCAACTTTTTTTTAGTATTAATCAGTTCCATGCAATATTTGGTACATACTTATCTTAAAAAACAATTGTTCATATCCTGTACTTTATTGTATTTTATGACAAACCTACAAATTTAGCATGTTACCATTTTCACAAATTTATGGTTGTTTTACAAATAACACTGTTTATAGAAAAGTCTAAAAAACCCTAAAGTGCTTCCCACAGACATATATATAATTCTTGAACATCGTATTATTTAAGGATGGCAAGGTAGAAGAATAAATTTCTATACAAAAATTCTTACTTTATTTGGCACAGTACAGAAATGTGCTCTCAGTGTAAATGGATTGCATTCATGTATGTCTTACTCTTGGATTTGTTTTTAAAATGTGTTTTTTCCTCCAAGGGATTGACAAATTGATAAAGCAACCTTCCAGGCCACATCTTATTAGGCAGCAAGCTGCCTCCTTTATTATGGGAGTAAACAATATTCAAAAGCTTCAGAAAGACTTAATTTTTTGCCCTTGTATCCTCACCAGAAATTGAATACAGTTTATCTGCCTTGATTTAAGATTGTGACACTGAATTGAACAAGAATGCAGTATGAAAATAGTGTTTCGGATTTGTACATCTTTATAATTTGAGCAGTTTAAAAATAAAAATCAACAAATTCATCTAAATGGCATTCCTATGTTATAACTATGAAAAGGACTATGTGCTTACTTGCAAAGGAGCCAAGGGCTTTGAAAACATTCAGTCTACATCAGGGGTTTAACTTGGGCTTCGTGTAGACGGTCAATCTCTCAAAAGAAGTTTGTATGTACAAAAAATATGTTCTAAGGAGCAAATCTATTGAATTCACTGGATACTAAAAATGTCTGTGAAAAAGCCATCTGTGGACCATTACGAGTTAAGAATCACTATTCTCTTTATGTGTAAATTTTTATGGTGTACTGAAAACCAAAGTGTGGATGACTTCAGTTTTTACTCTTTGCAAATCATCCTTTATGTCCAAGGTACTACTCTGATAGAAGAGAGTCACGGGATCAACTCTATTTAAAAAAAAAAAAAAAGAAGAAGTTCTTTATTGCTAAGTCTATATAATACATCGCATCTTCAAGTATAAAATAAATATTAAAGGACTATCGCCCAAAATTTTAGTAGACATGTGTGGACTTTGCCTGCCTAGCATCCATTCTCTTTTCAGGTAATAATGCTGTGATATCTTTTAAAGAATAACTCCTCCTCATCCACTATTTGGTCATGTGATACAAATGTGACTGTCCTCAATCCCTGACCAGAATACTCTAGGTGTTTGTCTACAGTGATTGGTTCAGTGGCCCAGATTATTCCCATTAGAGTCAGCCCTGGAACTTTTTCCTGTTCCAATGGAACCACTGAGGAAAAGGTGCTGTTTTTCTGCTGGGCTACACTGGGAGAATGCAAATCCTGCTATGCAAATCTGCTGTTGGCCATCCTTATTGGAAGAAACTATTAAGAACACTGCCAACACAGAGGACTAATTTTGTCTTATCTTAGAATCTGATTTTTGGGAATTCCAAACTAAGATACCCATCAACATTCCAATATTACTTTGTTTTGGATCCATCAACATTATCTTTGTGTCTCCATAAATATTAGAGTCATTTCTATTATATCTCACTTTCATCTATTTGACCAGGCTAACATTTAGGCACCTTTGTAGTCGTAGTATAAATGTCATTTTTCACAGGAAGATATCACTTATCTCCCAGTCTGAATGAGATACTTCTCCTTTGCTACCATAACACCTTTTTTGTCTGCATATCACTTGTTGCATTGTATTACATTGACAATTTAGTTACATAAAATCTAATCCTCACCAGCCAATACACCTGTCCCTCTAAACCTAACTAGATAGAAAGGTTGGTGAGAGCAAGAAACATCTTTTTTCAGAACCATATCCTCCCCAGTGCTGGACACATAGAAGGTCCTAATATATTATTGAAAGAAAAAGTGAATTCAGAATTAACCTGTCTTATGTGGGAACTCCTGCCATTCTCAGTCCCCATCCACATAGTCACAGGTACAGGAGATGGCAGCCATATTTGTACACCATAACTCTGTGTTCCTGTTGGTGGATACTTGGGTGACCAACAGGACCACGAGGGCATCCCTGGCTCAAATATGACCAATCAAATTCCTCCCTTAGAAATCTAGGGTTAGTTTCAGGAGTTTCATCCTTACATAGGCTGATCTCTCAAATGAAGAAGTAAAACCTTTGGCATTATGGCATGGTTATGACCATCTGAACAGAGTAGCAGTGATAGTTTTTCTGTAGAGAGAAAAGTAAATAAAACAAATGTCCTGAGATAAAGTAGAGAAGGGAGTATGAAGTGGAATCCCATGTCTTGTTCCAGCCCCTTCATGGACTGCAGAAGCACTTCTGCCCTTGATGTCACTGAGATACTTAGGATTTCTTAAAATAAATTCCTCCCAACCAATCTTTCCTTTTTTCACTTATTTTTGTCCTAAATTAGCATTAGTTGATTCCTGTTACATTCAAGCCAAAAGACTAAATAAACTAAGACAAAAATTAACCATCTATGACTCCAGTTTGCTTGACTGAATATTTGAATACTTAGAAATAGCAGCTTAACTGAATTTTCAACTTTCTTCCAGAAAAGCACTGTATTAATCTGGGTTCTTCGGATAAACAGAACCAACAGTATATATATATATTTGGAGAGACAGAAAGATTATAGGGAATTAACTGACATAGTCAGAGAGGCTGAGAAGTCCCAGGATCTACAGCTGACAAACTGGAGATCTAAGAGAGACAATGGTATATTTCTAGCCTGAATCTGAAGGCCTAAGAACCAAGGGAGCTGATGGTGTAAATTCCAGTCTGAGTCTGAGTATTCAGACAACAGAAGACTGGTATCTCAGCAGGGTGAGATGCACAGAGAGGGATTTCTCACTTACCTGCCTTTTTCTAATCAGGTTCTTTGTGGAATTGAGGAGGACAATTTGCTTTACTACTCTACCCATTCGAATGTTATTCACATCTGAAAACATCCTCACAGACACACCTAGAATGTTGGACCAAATATCTGGGTACCCCAAGAGCCAGTGAAGTTGACACATAAAATTAACTATCACAAGCACTTTTGTTGATTATTTTGTTCCTCGGGGGCAACCCTGAAATGGCAAAGAACCCTTATGAATGTTAAGGGGGCAAATCTACAATTTTAACATAGATAATTAGGATAAAAATCAATTACCGATTTTGAATATTCACTTCACTCAGGGGTAACTCTTGGGGGAAAAGTCAGTATTTTCAAATTCAGAATTCCTCAAGGGCATGATGATCCATTGACATGCACATCTATAACCCTCCTGATTAACATATATTCTGGCCCCAGATGTTCGATTTTACTTTCAACTTTACTTTGTCACATTTGAATAACCATCTAACAGATTACCTTGCACGTAAATTTTATGAATGTTGTTATAATTTGCATGAATAATATTAATACTTCTGTGGTGGATTTTATTTTCCAAACTATAACTTTTGCCATAAATTCCTAAATGCAAAAGAAGAAACTAAACAGCTTTTTGAGGAAACTTGCTATGTGTATAGACTTAATCAAATCACTTATCTTTGCTTATATCTACTTGCCAGAGTATATTAAAATAATGCATCAGAAGTGAATTTAGGGTGACCTGAAGATGTAGGATTATGAATAACCATGCCAGGGCATACTGATAATGAAATCATCTAAAAGACACTTTTAAAATGTATCTTATAATGAAAATTAAACTATATGACTAATATATCTCTTTTAAAAGTTTTTATGTTTATTAAACAGATAGATGTACATAGATTTAAAGGTCAAATAGATTTTTAAGGCTCATGATGAAAATTAGCAGTTTCTTGTCCCACTCAAGATCCCAATGACAATTCCCACTCCCAAAGGTGTAATCATTGTCAATTCTTTTTAGCTGATTCTCCTGATGGTCTCCTCAATATTTTTTTTTTTTTAAGTAGGTTCCACACTCAACGTGGAGCCCAATGCAGGGCTTGAACTAATGACCCTGAGATCAAGACCTGAGCTAAAATCAAGAGCCCGACACTAACGGACTAAACCACCCAGGCACCCCTGATGTTCCTCTCATATTTCTAAATAAAATACTACATCTTAAAAATTTATTAGTTTAGTTATTACTGATTATATTGACTACCATAAAATATGAAGTTGTAACAGATTTATACCCCCTAACACACACTTTCTTCAAATTTTTTATTAAATCAAAGGCTTATATGTTTATTAACAGCTAATCTATATAGGGTATGGTGATTATGTTTTCTTTTGATCTCTTTGTTTCCTGAAGTTCATAATTACTGTCTTCATCATTTTCTCAGTTTTCTGTGACCTATCACTATTTCACCCCCAAATCCTTTGCCAGTGTAATACAGTCATTATTACATCAAGTAATATATCATTACACTATTACATCCAATAATCGATAATCAAATTATCAGATAATCGGGGCACCTGGGTGGCTCAGTCGTTAAGCGTCTGCCTTTGGCTCAGGTCATGATCCCAGGGTCCTGGAATCGAGCCCCACGTCGGGCTCTCTACTCACTGGGAGGCCTGCTTCTCCCTCTCCCACTCCACCTGCTTGTGTTTCTTCTCTCGCTATGTCTCTGTCAAATAAATAAATAAAATCTAAAAAAAAAAAAAAAGATTATCAGATAATCAAGTAGGTTGTTGTTTTTCCTGCCATGCTGGTGTCCTTCTTGGACCCTTCCTTTCTTCTATTCTATTCTCAACTAATTGCTCTTTGTAACTAAAATTTTTTTTTCCTTATCATCCTGAGAATTCCCTTGATTTTGTCCTGTATTAGATTCTAGGTTTCCTGAATACTCTATTTCTTTTTTTCCTTTCCTTTCCTTTCCTTTCCTTTCCTTTCCTTTCCTTTCCTTTCCTTTCCTTTCCTTTCCTTTCCTTCCTTTCCTTTCTTCCTTTCATCCTTTCTTGTTTTGTACTTTTAGAGTACAATTTCATGTAGCTTCCTGGGAAAATGTATATATAAGGTAATTTTTTTTTTTTGAGATTTGACAAGACTGAAATTCTCCTTATTTTGCCCTAATATGTGATATGTGGTTTATGAGGGTATAGATTTCTAGGGTGTAAATTACTTTTCCTGAATTGTTTTTCTTTTTTTTTTCATTTTTTATTGAGTTTTATTGAGATATAATTCTATATATCATTATATAAGTTTAAGGAGTACCCCATGATGATTTGAAACACTTATATTTTGCAAAATGATTACCACAACAAGGTTAGTTAACACCTCCATCACCTCACAATTACCTTTTTTTTGTTTGTGGTGAGACTATTTAACAACTACTGTCTTAGCAACTTTCAAGTGTATAATACAGTATTGTTAACTATAGTCACGATGCTGTACATTAAATCCCCAGAACTTATTCATCTTATTTTTTTTAAGATTTTATTTCAGAGAGAACAAGAATGAGAGCACCTGGGGGTTGGGGCAGAGAGAGAGAGAGAGAGAAGTGGGCTCCCCACTGAGCAGGGATCCTGACTCCCAGAACCCCTGGATCCATCCCAGGACCCTGGGATCATGACCTGAGCCGAAGGCAGATGCTTAACTGACTGAGCCACCCAGGTGCACCCATATAGTAGTTCTATTTTTAATTTTTTGAGGAACCTCCATAGTGTTTTCCATTGTGGTTGTACCAGTTATTACTCCTATTGACAGTGCAAAAGGATTCCCTTTTCTTTATATCTTCACCAATGCTTTTGTTAGATGATATCTCATTGTGGTTTTGATATACATTTCCTTGATGATTAGTGATGTTGAGAATCTTTTCAAGCACTTGTTGGCCATTTGTATATCTTCTTTGGAAAAAAGATGGTTCAGGTCCTCTGCACATTTTTTAATTGGATTGTTTGGTTTTTTGCTACTGAAGTTATATGAGTTATTTTTATATTATGGATATTAACCCCTTATCAGATAGATGATTTGCAAATACTTTCTCACATTCCATAGATTACCTTTTCAGTTTGCTCATTGTTTCTTTTGCTGTAAAGAAGGCCTTTTAGTTTGATACAGTCTCAGCTTGTTTATTTTTGCTTTTGTTGCTTGTGTTTTTGATGCCAAAAAATTGTCTGGAGGACCAATTCCAAGGAGGATTTTTCCTATTTTTTCTCTTAGTATTTTTATGTTTTTAAGCTTATTTTAAGACCTATAATCCATTTCAAATTAATTTTTGTGAGTGGTTAAGTAGAGCTCTAATTTCATTCTTTTGAATGTGATTGTCCAGTTTTCCCATCACCATTTATGGAAGAGACTGTCCATTCCCTATTGAGTATTCTTGACTTTTTTGTCAAATATTAGTTGACTCTATATGTGAGGAAATAGTTTCTAGGCTCTTTATTCAGTTTCACTGTTCTATATGTCCGTTTTTATGCTAGTACCATATTATTTGTTTTTATTTTTGTTTTTGTATTTTTTGCTATAGCTTTGTTAATTTAGTTTGAAATCAGGAAGTCTGTTGCTTTCAGCTTTGCTCTTCTTTCTCAGAATTGTTTTGGCTATTTAGGGTCTTTTTGTGGTTCCCTTATGAATTTTAGGATTGTTTTTTCTATTTCTTTAAAAATGCTATTGGAATTTTGATAGAGATTGAATTGAATTTATGACTTTGGGTAGTATGGACATTAAAAAAACATTAATTCCTCCAATTCATGAACACATGGGATGCCCCGTGGCATTCCTACGACAGAGTGGTCACGCAGGTCTCAGCATTCCAAAGGCTTACGCCCTTCTCCGAAATCTTCCCTTGCCCCCGTGTCCTCCATGTTACATTTTGGCAAGCCAGGTATTATGGATGATTTCATACTCTACATTAACTCCAACATTTGTGTCTTCTTCAATTTCTTTCATCAATATCCTATAATTTTAAAGGTACAGATATTTTGGGGCGCCTGGTTGGCTCTGTCGGTTAAGTGTCCAACTCTTGATTTTGGCTCAGGTTATATCTCAGAGCTGTGGGATCAAGCCCTGCGTCGGGCTCCACACTGAGTGCAGAGTTTGCTTGTCCCTCTTCTTCTGCTCCTCCCCCTACTCACTCTCCCTCTAAAATAAATAAAAATAAAAAATCTAAATGTACAGATATTTTATCTCCTTGGCTAAATTTATTCCTAAGTATTTTTATGGTACTGTAAATGGGATTGTTTTCTTATATTTTCAGGTAGCTTTTTGTTAGTTTATAAAAATGCAACTGATTTTTGTGTGTTGATTATAGGACCTGCAACTTTATTGAATATTTGTATTAGTTCCAACAGTTTTTAGTGAAGGTTTTAGACATTTCCATATATAAAATCATATCTTCTGCAAACAATTTTACTTCTTTTCTTCTGATTTGGAGGCCTTTCCTTTCATTTTCTTGACTAATTGCTCCAGGTAGGGTATCAGCTTTATATTGAATAGGAATCGTAAAAGTGGGCACCCTTGTCTTATTCCTGATCTTAGAGGAAAGGCTTTCAGCCTTTCATCATTGGGTATGATGTTAGCTGTGGGCTTGTCATATACGACCTTACTTATGTTGAGGAACATTCCTTCTATATTCAAATTTTTGTGAGTTTTTACCATGAAGGATGATTAATTTTGTCAAATGCTCTTTCTGCATCTACTAAGAAAATCACATGATTTTTATCTTTCATTCTATTAGTGTAGTATACCACAGTTATTTATTTGTGTATGTTGAACCATTTTTGAATTCTAAGGATAAAGCATACTTGATCATGGTATATGATTCTTTTAACGTGCTGTTGAATTAAGTTGCTAAAATATTGTTGAGAATTTTTGTATCTATATTCATCAAGAATATTGGCTTGCAGTTTTCTTTTCTTGTAGTGTCATTTTCTGACTTTCATATCAGAATAATCCTGGCCTGACAAAATGAGTTTGGGAGTATAGACACCTCTGCAGTTTTTTGGAAGAGTTCAAGAAATGTTGGTGTTAATGTTTGGTAGAATTCACCAGTGAAACCATCTGCTCCTGAGCTTTCCTTTGTTGGGAGGGTTTTGATTATTAATTCTTCCTAAAACTTAGTCATTCATATTTTCAGTTTCTTTTTTAGTCAGTCTTGGTAGATTGTATGTTTCTAGGAATTTATCCATTTCTGCTAGGTTATCCAATTTGTTAGCATATAGTTGTTCATAGTAGTATCTTATGATTCTTTTGAACTTCTGCATCATTCACTGTAATGCCTCATCTTTCATTTCAGGTTTTATTTACTTGAGTCTTCTCTCTTTTTTTCTTAGTCCAGCTAAAGGTTTGTCAGTTTACATTTCAGAAAATCGGCTCTTAGTTTCATTGATTTTTTTCCTATCCCTCTTTTTCTATTTCATTTATTCCTACTCTGATCATTACTGTCTCCTTCCTTCTGCTAACCCTGGGCTTACTTATTCTTTTCTAGTTCTAGTTCCTTTAAGATATAAAGTTGGGTTGTATATTTGAGATCTTCCTTTTTTCTTCATGTAGTCATTTATCACTATAAACTTCCCTTTTAGAACTGCTTTTGCTCCATTCCATAAGTTCTGGTATGCTGAGTTTCCTTTTCCTTTGTTTCAAGATATTTTTTAATTTCTCTTTTGATTTCTTTGATCTATTGGTTATTTAGGAGTGTGTTAATGCCACATAATTATGGATTTTTCCATTTTCCTATTGTTATTGATTTCTATCTTCATACCATTATGAAGAGATATTTCTAACCTAATAATATGATTTTAGTCTTCTTAAATTTGCTAAGACTTGTTTTGTGACCTTGCATATGTTCTATCCTGGAGGAAATTTTGTGTGCACTTGAGAAGAATGTGTATTCTGCTGCTGTTGGATGGAATGTTTTGGTATATGTTTCTTGGGTTTATTTGATCTAAAGCATAGTTCAAGTGCAATATTTCCTTATCAATTTTCTGTCTGGATGATCAATCCATTATTGAAAGTAGGATACTGACATCCCTTACTATTCTATTGTTATTGTATTGTTGTCTGTTTTTCCCTTCAGATCTTTTAGTATTTGTTTGATATATTTAGATCCTACAATGTTGGGTGTATGTGTATTTTAGATTGTTATATCCTCTTGATGAATTGATCCCTTTATTATTATATAATGATCTTCTTTGTATCTTTACCACCTGTCACTTACGGTCTATTTTAATACCAGTATAGCTATTCCTGCTCTCTTTTGGTTTCCTCTTGCCTGAAACATAGTTTTCTGTTCCTTCACTTTGAACATATGTGTGTCCTTAAAACTAAAGTGAGTCTCTTGTAGGAAGCATACAGTTTGTTCTTTTTGTTGTTGTTTATTTTTTTCCGTTCAGCTACTTTGTCTCTTGATTAAAGAATTTAATTCATTGATATTTTGCATAATTATTGATAACTAAGGACTTATTCCATAATATTAATTGTTTTCTGGCTTTCTTGTAGTCTCTTTGTTCCTTTCATCCTCTTTTGCTGCCTTTGTTTGTGAATTGATGGTTTTCCATAATGATGAATGCTTTGATTCCCTTCTTTTCATCTTTGCGTATCTGCTGTCGGTTTTTGTTCTGTAGTTATCATGAGGCTTACCTAAAACATCTTATTGATATAACAGTCTATTATAAACTAACAGCAACTTAACTTCAATTACATATAAAAATTTTGCTTTGTTACTCATTTAATTTTTTTATTTCACAATATGCATCTTTTTATATTATATATTCACTAACAAATTATTATAGCTATTGCTATATTTAATACGTCCATAATGTGGTTAGTAGGGTTGGTGCTCCTTTGACATGTTCCAAAGGATACTTGTATCCTTTAAATTTTTTTGCTAGAATTAAGTGGCTAGCACAGTACCATATACAATGTTATAATATCCTGAAATTGACTATATATTTACCTTTACTAGTGTGTTGCATATTTTCATGTTACTTATTAGTTCCCTTTCATTGCAGCTTTAAGAACTCCTTTCAGGATTTCTCGTAAGTCAGGTCTAGTGGTGAGGAACTCCCTCAGCTTTTGTTTATCTGAGAATATCTCTATCTCTCCTTCATTCCTAAAGGACAACTTTGATCCACAGAGTATCCCACTCTCTCCTGGCCTATAAGGTTTCTGCCAAGAAACCTGCTGATAGCCTTATGGGGGTTCCTTTTTAAGTGATAAGCTTCTTTACTCTTCCTGCTTGTAAGATTCTTTGTCTTTGATTTTTGACAGCTTTTATAATGTGTCTTGGAGAATAGGTTGAATTAGGGGACCTATGAGTTTGTGAACATGGATGGCCAAATCTCTCTTCAGATGTGGAACTTTTGAGCCATTATTACTTTTTAAAATATAGAATGTCTCGAATTTGTATGTCATCCTTGTGCAGGCAAGCACCATAGCTAATCTTCTCTGTATCATTCCAGTTTTAGTATATGTGCTAACAAAGCAAACACAAGCCATTATTTTTTAAAATAAGTTTTCTGCCTCCATCCCCCTTTCTTCTCGAATTCCAGTAATTCTCATATTGGCTTGTTCAATGGTATCTCATAGATCACACAATGTTTCTTGACTCTTTTTAATTCTTTTTTCTTTGTTCTCTCTGAATAGATCATTTAAAAAGTCTTGTCTTCAATTTCAGATTCTTTCTTCTGCTTGATCCATTTTGATTTTGGTTCTTTATTGCATTTTTCATTTCATTTCATAAATAAAATGAAAGTTATCCTTTCACCTCAGAATTTGTTTTTTTTTAAATGATTTCTGGTTGTTTTTTTTAACTTCTCATTTTGTTTGCACATTGTTTTCCTGATTTCATTGAATTGTGTTTCTGTGTTTTCTTGTAGTTCACTGAGCTTTCTTAAAACAGCTATTTTGAATTTTTGATTAGGTAAATTGCAGATCTCCATGTCTTTGGGGTTGATTAATGGAAGATCATTGTGATCCTTCAGTGGTGTCATGTTTCCATGACTTTCTGTGTTCCTTGAAGTCTTGCATTGCTATCTTTGCATTTAAAGTAGCAGTCACCTCCTCCATTCTTTACTGAATAACTTTGGAAAAGAATCATCTTCCTTCAGCCCTACGAGGCATTCTGGGGCTTTCTCAGATCTTCTGTGGATACACATTGCTCCACACTTCTTGCTCCCTCTTGTGGCAGAGTCTTTTTTGTTGTTGGTTGGTTTGTTTCAAGTTTTTATTTAAATTCTGGTTAGTTAACATACAGTGTAACATTCATTTCAGGAGTAGAATTTAGTGACTCATCACTTACATATAACACCCAGTGCTCATCCCAACAAGTGCCCTCCTTAATACCCATCACCTGTTTAGCCCATCCCCTGCCCACGTCCCCTCCAGCAACCCTCAGTTTCTTCTCTATAGTTAAGAGTCTGTTTTGTAGTTTGCCTCTCTCTCTCTGTCTTCCCCCTATGTGCATCTGTATTGTTTCTTAAATTTTGTGGCAGATTCTTAAGCTTGTATGCTTTCTTTTGATCCTGCTGCACACCAGGCCTATTGCTGACAGCCACCCTTTTACTTTCTCAAAGGTGATGCTAAATGTTCATTTTTGGTCTCTTCCTGGCCCATAGATACAGTCCAGCTTTATGTGCATGCTCACTACTTGTCTGCCAAAGCTCACTCTTGCTACTGTTAGGGACACATACAAAGAGCTGCCCATTAAGGTGTGTGGGTGCAGCCCACAGAGTGCTATTGATGTCCATGGGCCCACTGCGGGGATTGACAGGTGAGGCATCTCAACAGCTATGGGGTGGGCCTCCTGATGGAGTCCATAATGTGTTTAGTAGGGTCGGTGTTCCTTTGACATGATCCGAGCCTTTGCTGTTGTTCTCCTAGCTGCTTACAACCCCCAGTCATGCAATTCATGATGCAGTACTCTGGACGGGATGAGAGAGAAATGGGCCTCTGGCAGCATCCCACACAGCCTGGGAAGCCAGGCACTCACGCACATGTTCTCACTTTCCTCCACAAGAGAAATCATAGGCTAAGAAGGGCTCTCATGGCACTAGCTATGCCACTTTGGGAGAGCGGTGACATGGATAAACGCAAGCTCTTTCTCTTACCCTCTTCAACTTGTTCAGTCTCTGATTTTCTTGTTCCAACAGTGTGCTGGAACTTCTCTGCAGGATTCCTGGACTTCCACAAAGACTTTCTTATCTATGATGACTGTCTAAGTCAGGGTTCTCCAGGGCTTCTGGACTGCAGGCAAAGGGCCAGGGATCAGTTCCTGGGCCACTTTTGTGTTCATAGCCTGGACCAAGATTTGTTTGACTATGGCACAATGCACAGGTGGGTGAGACATCTCCTAGGTACCTAGGCATATGGTGCTGGCTCCCACAGAAACACTTTTTTTGTGGATGGATGCCAAATTATTTTGGGGGGGCATCCAAGAAGGGACTCCCTCAGTTTTTAAACCAGTGTTGCATTGAATTCTATCTTCCAGTGCCATTCAGAGAAGTCTGATGCTGTATAATTTCCTTAACATCTGAATGTAGCCTGCTTCTTTCCCCCACTCCCACCCTGGAAACTTGCAAGATCTTCTCTTTACCCTCAATCCTCTGAAATTTCATAATGTGAAAATATGTTGCACTGTCTCCCCATTTACTGAGCTTCCCATTTGCTTGCTGAACCATTTCTGAGAAACTTCTTCGTTTTCTTTCTTTCCCTGGAATTATTATTATCTCAGTCCTCCTTGAATGGATACTACCATTTTCTTGTATTTTCCTTTGTTCACTTTCACCATTTTTCTTATTTTCTGGAAAATGTCTTTGGCTTTGCCATTCAAATCTTCACTGCAATTTTTATTTATGTGATCATATTTTAATTTCTTTGACTTGTTGGTTTTATTTTGAAAGAGTTCTTTTTTAGTATTCTGTTTATTCCCTCCTTTCCATGTCTCTGAGTCCAGTAATTACAAGTTTTCTTCAGTTCTTTGAGAATTTTGTGTCCTTAGTGCTTCTTTTTTTTCTATATAATTTTGTACCTGTCTTTCATGTTAGAATTTTTCATACTCTTTAGTATCTTTGATTTTCTGTTTCTAATATGACTGAGACACTAAAAACCTAATTGGAAGTTTGTGTGTAAGCATAGAATGGGGTTTGAGAAGTACTTGTGAGGTTGTGGGCTTTGGGTGATAGGACAAAGATCTTCCTGCTGGAGGTCCCTGTCTATACAGAGTTTTCTTGGGTTCAACACACTCTCCAGAGGGAAATCCTGCAATACTCAGGCTCATAAGCACATAGCCAGTGAAGGAGCTTTACTATCTCACTATTTAGTGTATAGCCTTTTATTTAATCTCTCCTTTCAGTACAGAATTCCCATCTTCAGTTGTTATCACTGAATACAAAATACAGAATATCTCTAGGTTTACTGTAAAGAATAAGTCTCAGCCTTTAGCCAAGTACTGAGAAGTTGATAACTGGCAGTGTGGTATGGGAGAAAAATTAGAGGTATCATTGATTCTTATATAGACTTTGCACCAATCCTTGTATTTCCAGTCCCACCTGCAATCCCACTTTCAGGTATACCTATTATTTGTATTCCATAATTTTTCTCTTTTCTTTTTCACTCTTATTTTTTGCAGTATAGTCTCAAATAACTTTCTTGGAATGTGTACATATGAGATAAAACTACTGAATCTTTATGTATGTGAAAATGTATTTATTTTGCTCTGATCCTTGGTTGATAGTTTAGCTGGGAATATAATTTTAAGTTTAAAAACAAGTTTTCCCTTGTTAAATTCAAGAAAACATCATTCTTGTCTTCTAGTATCCAGTATTACTGGTTGGAAATGTAATATTAGTCAAAAAACTTTGCCTTTTATCTAATCCTTACTCAGCTAATGCTTTTATTATTTTCTCATTAACTTGTTCTTCTGGAATTTTACACTTTATTTATTTATTTATTTTTACTTTTAAAGATTTTATTTATTTATTTATTTGAGAGAGAACGAATGAGAGAGAGAGCACACGAGAGGGGGGAGGGTCAGAGGGAGAAGCAGACTCCCTGCTGAGCAGGGAGCCCAATGTGGGACTCAATCCCAGGACTCCAGGATCATGACCTGAGCCAAAGGCAGCCGCTTAACCAACTGAGCCACCCAAGCGCCCCTATTTATTTATTTTAAAGATTTTGTTTATTTTAGAGAGAGAAAGTGCATGAGCATGAGTGGGGGGAGGGGCAGATGGAATGGGAGAAGCAGACTCTCTGCTGAGCAGGGAGCCTGACACGGACTCAATCCCAGGACCCTGGGATCACGACTGAAGCTGAAGGCAGATGCTTAACCGACTAAGCCACTCAGGCCCCCCACTTTGTTTTTATTTATATTGTATTATTTATATTCAATTTATATGCTATTATTAGTATATATAATGTAGTATGTTAGTATATATATTATTAATATTAGTATCATATATACTATTATTTGTATACTATTAAATATTATAAATTTCAACCCACCAGTAATCTATCCTGTAACAGTCTTAACAGGAGCCTGGTTTTATTCAAATCTTACCCCTTCTGCACACAGCCGGTGATTCATGTAAACTTGCCTCATTTCCACTCTGAGTGATCTTTAATTAATTCTAATGCCGTAATATGATCTCATTCCCCCTTGTTAGTGATTGTTTTAGGAATGGGCAAGGGACCCAATTCTGGACAAGGGAAGAGTGGCTGGAGGCTTTTGGGAAAGGAGAGAAGTATGGGGAGAGTTGCTGGAGGCTTTTGTTCTTAGGAGAGTATGGGGAGCCTGTTTGTCTCACTTCTCCTGAAAATAGACATGGAAGAATATTGCATCCCTTGTTTCTGTCATCCATTTTGGACAGTGAGAAAATCTATTTCTAAAACAGAGCTAACCCACAGAGCTATGGATAACAAAGGGAGAATAGCATTCAAATAAAGCTGAACCCCAGTCATACTAGGCTTGGCAATTGCTTTGCTTTTAGACTTCCTGTCACATGAGCCAATAGGTTTCTTAATATTTAAGACAATTTGTACTGGTTTTCTGTTACTCAAAGCTGAAAGTATCATAACTGATTCTGAAGTTGTAGAAAAGTATTTTGTCTTTTATTCTTGAGTCACATGGACTGAAGAGGAGTGGAGAATATGGATGGGGAAAAGGATTGTCATCCTGTGGTGTAGTTTAGTATTCAGACTTTGAGTTTAGCCAATAGCATCACTTCTACCCTCTTTGTACCTGGCAGTTCTAAATCCTGTGCATCTTTAGATGTGTCATATACACAGCATATCATTATCATGGTGTCTGAAGACAGCGTATTTGGGTTCAAATCTTGACTCTGTCATTTTTAGCTAGGTAATCTTTTGCATGTTATTAAATATCTGTGTGTTTCAGTTTACTCATAGTCAAAATGGAATATGATGGTATTTATACTGCAGAGAAGAGTTGTATTAAATGGGTTATATGAAAAGTTTTTGGCATGTAGAAAGTGCT